CCCATTGCTCTCAGCTGTCATCACTGAGTCCTCGGATTGCAGGCTTAGCCCAGCCTAGCCTCTAAGCCAGCACACCCCAGGGAAAGGTGTACTATGGGTATTCAACCTTCAGCAGGTGCAGTCTGGGATGAGCCATGTTCCTGTGGTGGCACGTGGATGTCCTGACCTTCCCTACCCCTCACCAAGTTGAGATCCTGCACGATCTTATTTAGAGATGTGCTCTAGACCCTAACTCAGTAAGCCAAAAGTCTCCCCCACCACTCTCACTTTAATATATACAGACTTTTCCAGGAATATAACTAACCATCATGTAAATCTGGGGAAGATGGTACTTCGTTTTGTTCGACACTTGAACAAAAGTTGTTCACAGTTTGGAAAATCATGACAAAGTTGGTCATAGTACAGTAAAACCTATATAATAAGTGGATACAAATGCCCTACCCAACCCTGATTTTAGTCGGGATTCACTCTGAGTGGGGCTTGGAGGGAAGGGCGAAGCCATCAGGGGAAAGCAGGCAACCAGCCTTGGAAGTGGAGGGCCACTCTTTTGGGTCCCAAGACCCCATTTTTTCCCACGGCCACGTAAGCAGAGCAGAAGCGGCCACAAGGTGGCGCCACGCCGCCGCTGGGACCCAGGGGACTGGCTCCGCCCCTCCCAGCCCCTGGGCGCGGCAGGTGGCCCCATTCATAAACTGCGCGGTAAGGCCGCGCCACCCCGACTGGCTATTTTGAATCCTATTTATCAATCTGTAATGGAGCTTTACTGTTTTTGAGTAGCCAATTCAATACTCCTTTACGGGTCTATTTTTGCCACTACTGCATGCTGGGTTCAAGCTTCTGATTATATTTCATAACTTAGAACGGAGTCGCCAATATGTATGCCAATATTTACGTATTGGCATATATATTGTATTATATTTACACATATTTATATATATTATATTTACATATTGACATATATATTATATTTTTCCTTTTATGTTACAGTTGGGACAGCACATCAATTTTTTTTAAACATATGCATAGATAGGGTATAATCACTATGAATTTTATTTCAGGCTGGTGAAAGGGTGTGACAAAATATTTGCCATAGAAAGAGGACTTGGGTCCGACAGGGTTGAGAACCAGTATCCTGGAGCACTGACCTTCTCAGCACTTCTCTGTTGGCTTTGGTGACTGGGTCCTCCTCGCCAATCTCTGCTGGGCCCTCGGTGGGGATGAGGGTTCCTGCCAACAGTCCTCTCCCGTCCATGAGACCAAGTTCAAACACCCACTCCTTCTACAGCCCCTGCTCCAGCCAGTGCTTATTGGGATGGTAAGCAGTTCCGTGGTGCCAACTGGGGGTTGGGGGGAAGGTTTGACTAAAAAAGAGCAGCACAAGGGAATTCACAGGGGTGACCCTAATGTTGGTGGTTACATGACTCTGCATTTGTGAAAACCCATAGAAATGTTTGCCACTGAGAGTGAGTGTCAATGTATGCAAAGAGAGGGGAAAAAAAAAAAAAAGCAGAATGTCAGGGGAACCCAGAGTGGAATGCAGACTATGACAAATGAATCTGTGTCACAATTGAATGGCACAACTCCACTGAAGGGGGTGGAGAAGAAGGGAGCTGACCTAAGAGACTTTGGGAAACTGTGATTAGCTAAAGGACAAAGAAGTGTAGGAACACTGCTTTAGTCTAAATTTGTTTCTCCCAGGGTATGGGTTAGCTCTGAAACTCTATTACATCTATATCACAGTTGAACAAATGAGGAAACATATAGTTTCCTATACGGGTGACGAGTGCTGGCTTTCTCACTGCCAGGAGAAAAGTTCAACATACATAAATGAAATCATACACTATGTAGCTTTCTGTCTCCTTTCACTCAGCTTTGTCGTTGCATGAACCAATAGTTTGTTCCTTCTTGTTGCTGAATGGTATTCCATTGTGTGGATGTCACATTGTTTATCAATTTACCTGTTGAAGGACATCTGGGTTGTTCTCAGTCTGGGGTGACAAAGCTGCTATAAACATTCACATTCGTAAACGTGCATGGACTTTAGGTTCTCTGTGTCCTCAGTACCCTCCCCCACCCTCAAAACTGGAACAGTTTCTTGGCCTTGCCTTTTCTTTCATATTCTCAACAGTTTGAGATGGTACAGGCTTTACGTGTTCACCTGGGTTTGTCGGATGCATCCTCACCATCAGACTTGGGTCATGTTTTGCTGGCAGGAATACAGTGGGAATGGTGCTATACTATTCTCAGAGCATCACAGCAGAGGGTCTGATTTTGTTGTCTGCCAGATTTTTCCACCATAACATCACCATTTCCCCCTCTATAATTCAGTAGGATTTTCTGGGAAGCTATTTCAGGAATGCGTCAATACCCAGTTCTTCAGCAAACCTTCTCTATTCACCACCCTTGGCCTCTATTGAAAGCTCCTGCCTGAATCAGCCACGACTGATGGTGCCAAATAGTGATTTTCTCTTTCTGGAACCCCTTCTACAATTGATAGTTGGGATTCTACTGTAAAGAAGAGTTCTCTCTCTCTCTCTCTCTCTCTCTCTCTCTCTCTCTCTCTCTCTCTCTCTCTCTCATCAGTATGACTCATGAGTTTATTCAAGGATTTGTAATTCATTACTGTTGTTACTTGCTTTGATACTCAAAATGCCCCAGATTTGGCCAGTGGGAGCCCCTCCAGGCTGGCTTCTACATTCTTTTGCTTTGTCCCCTTCATTCTTTGAGCACCTCCTTCCTTGCTGGCAAGCTGGAGGTTCCAGTCTTGTCTTGTACTTTCCTTGCCCCAATCTTGGAATCAGCCATTTCTTCAAGGAATCCTGGTTCCTTCTAGTGGAAGATGGTATTTAGAGAACCAATCTGGGCATGTGGTATGCTCCTTGTGCTGTGGTGTCCCTGCTTCTAGGCCTTCTCAATGGACAGATTTAGGAAAAAAAATACACCCATATAGATTCATATATACACACACATTTGTACACTCATGCATCTGTAACTATCTCAGGGTTCTTTCTAGCCTTCCCAAACTTTCCATGTTTATAAGTCCTTTCTCTAATAGTGAGAAACCCGGTTACCATTATGCTCTATATATTTACTTCTCTGTTCAACATAACCAGTCTCCCAACCACACTGGCTGACTCTGTCACCTGCCGCCTCCCCTGACTGAGCAAGCCAAGCCCTCTGCCTTTGGGAAGCTCTCTGATCTACCTCATCTCCATTCCTGGCATCCTGTGTTCCCAGGGTCTGGCGGGCACACCACTGCCTCCTGCCCCCCTTGCTGCCACACAGCAGGCAGTAGGGCAGCTCCGCATCAAACTCTGGGAAGGGAAAATGCAAAGGGCTCCAAGAGTTTTGAAGGCTGGGGGCTGTAGTATTTACAGCTACTCTTCTGTAGCCTGAAGGTACGGGCTGTATGGGCTGATGAGGACTCAGTGGGGCTGTCTGTAGCCTTGCTCAGAGAACATGGGCTATGCTGTCTTGAAAGTTTTCTTTTTTTAAAAAAACACTTTATTGAGGTATGATTGATATGTAAAAAGCTGTACACATTTAATGTATACAAATTGATGGGTTTGGGGGTAAGTATACACCTATAAAACCATCCCTGCCATCAAGGTCATAGACATACCCACCACCTCTTAAAGTTTTCTCTTGCCCTCTTATTATAATTATTTGTAACAGTAATAATATTACGTGTGTGTTTGGGTGTGTGTGGTAAGAGCACTCAACGTAACATCTACCCTCTCAGCAAATTCTAACTATACAAGACAGCATTATTATTAGCACTAAGCTGTATAGTAGCTTTCCAGAGCTTGTTTATCTTGCATAACTGGAACTTTCTATGTACCCTTTGACCATCATCCCATTGTCCCCTCCCTCACTTCCTGGAAACCACTATTCTACTCTCTGTTCCTATGAGTTGGACTATTTTAGATTCCACATATAGGTGACATCATATAGCATTTGTCTCTTTGTGCCTGGCTTGTTTCATTTAGCATAATGTCCTCCAGGCCCATGCATGTTGTTGCCAATGGCAGGATTTCCTTCCTTTTTTTTTTTTTTTTTTTTTTGAGACAGAGTCTCACTCTGTTGCCTGGACTAGAGTGCCGTGGCATCAGCCTAGCTCACAGCAACCTCAAACTCCTGGGCTCAAGTGATCCTTCTGCCTCAGCTTCCTGAGTAGCTAGGAGTACAGGCATGTGCCACCATGCCCAGCTAATTTATATATATATATATATTTTTTTAATTGTCCAGCTAATTTTTTTCTTCTTCTTCTTTTTTTTTTTTTTTTAGTAGAGACGGGGTCTTGCTGTTGCTCAGGCTCCTCTCAGACTCCTGAGCTCAAATGACCCGCCCACCTCAGCCCCACCAAAGTGCTAAGATATCGGGTGTAAGCCACCATGCCCAGCTAAGATGTCCTCTGTTCTACTTGGGGGTGCATCCTATTCTCGAGGGGTAATTTTTCTGTCAACTTGGGCTAACAATCTGCAAAATAGTGAGCCCAGCTGAGTTTTTCTGCCTCTGCTGAGACAGTGCTGTGATTTATAGGGGCTTCTACTCTTGAAGTTTTTCTTGGCTTGTTTGAGCTGGTTACTCCCTCCCTCAGACTGCCTCTCTCCAATTTGGTGGGGGGGGGCAGGTAATTTGTGAAAACATGCACAATTTAATAACTAGCCTTTTTCCTCTATTACCAGGCCATCCCCAGACTTTATGTTCTCCCTTCCCTTTGTTGCCTGAGTCAACTTCTTTGTCAAGTTGTCAATAGATACTCTTTTGCTATTAAAAAAGTTATTATGTACTTAATGTGTATGCCACGGGAGTAGTTCTGTGACATAGCTTCTTCACAGAGGCAGCTAATTGTCCACCGACAGCTTTCATCCTTAAATAATAAATAATTGCCCAGTTCTAGGTGGGCTCATGGCCACCCAGCTCAAAGCTACATTTCCCAGATTCCCTTGTATCTGGGTGTGGCCATGTGCCTGAATTCCGACCAATGGGAGGTGAGCAACAGTGATTATGCCATTTCTAGGTCATGCCCTTAAAAGGCATGACTGTGTGCTCCCCTTTCTTTTCCCCCTTCTCACTGGCCAGGATGCCAACATGATTGCAGGAGCTGGAGCAGCCACCTTGGGACTTAGGGATGGAAGCCACATGTGGAGGAGGGCAGAGACACTGTACCAGCTCTGGACTACCTGCCTTTGAACTATTATGTAAGAGAAAATCAAAATTCTATTTTGTTTAAGTCACAACAGTTTCGAGGTCTTTGACTACCTAGACTATACCCTAAGTAGCACAGCTTCATGCCACTACCTTTACCCAGAAACCTGTACCTCCTCTTTATTTATGTATATTTATGCTTTCTTATTTCAAATTTTATGTTTTATGCCCAGATTTTTAAAAATTAAACTGTTAGCTAGTGGTTTAATTTTTTTCGAAGAACCAGCTTATGGAGTTATTTATTTTAGTGGGAGTTAATTATTTTAGTGTGTTTATTATTTTAAGATTATTTTTGCTACCTTTACATTTGAATGAATTTTAAGCCATTTATAGAATTATGAGGTCACGGCCTTTTCTCCTCAACATTCTTTCTACATTGTTCCATTGCCTTATGCCATCTAAAATTGCTGGGGAAAAGTCTGAGGCCAGTCTCATTTTACTCCCTTTAGTAGATTGTCTGCTTTTCCTACCTGGACGTTTGTAGTAGGATGCTTTTTTTTAGAGCTATTTTGATCTCAATGATTTCTTAACTCAGTTTACCTATAATACAGTAAATTCTGTTCTTTTACCAAATTGAGTCTTTTAAGTTTCAGAAATAACTCTGTTCTTTTGTTTCTGACTACTTTTTGGAGTTCTATCTTTTCCTTTGTCATCAGGGATTCTATCTGTATGTTGGCTCAACATAACTGTCCTACAATCTATGATTTCTCTCCAGTCACCTCATTTCTCTACCCAGCTTCATTGTGTGATATTCACATCACCTTTATCTTGTGACAGTCTTACGCATATCATCCAAGTCACTGACTCAGCTTTCTGTCCTGTCAACTCCACTTCTTGTGACTTCCAGATATTTAGTGGGGTTTTCTTTCTGTTTCTTTCTTTACTCTTTCCAGTCCCCTTTTCATCTTATGTTGGTTTCTCTAATTTTTCTTTCACAGGGTCCATATTATATTTAATTTCCTTGAGAGTACAGAGAGGATTCTTGTCAAATATTTTCTTCCTGGAATCATTTCACTACAATATGAAGTCATTATACATATTTTCTTCCCGACAGTCTTTGGGAGAGGAAGTAGTATCTTACATAGATACCATGGTATATCTTTACTAAAAATAGTGACTATATTTTAGTTTTTAAAAAGTGTCTATCTTGACCAGCCTGGGCAACATAGTGAGACCCCATCTCTAGAAAAAATGTAAAAATTAACTGGATGTGGGGGTGCACATCTGTAGCTCCAGCTACTTGAGAGGCTGAGATAGGAGAATCCCTTGAGCCCAGGAGTTCAAGACTGGAGTTCAAGGCTGCAGTGAACCACTGCACTCCAGCCTGGGTGACAGAGTGAGAAAGAAAGAAGAAAGAAGGAAGGAAGGAAGGAAGGAAGGAAGGAAGGAAGGAAGGAAGGAAGGAAGGAAGGAAGGAAAGAAAGGAAGGAAGAAAGAAAGGAAGGAAGGAAGGAAGGAAGGAAGGAAGGAAGGAAGGAAGGAAGGAAGGAAGGAAGGAAGGAAAGAAAGGAAGGAAGAAAGAAAGAAAGAAGAAAGGAAGGAAGGAAGGAAGGAGAGAGAAAGAAAGAGAGAAGGAAAAAAGGAAGGAAGGAAGAAAGTAGACAGAAAGAAAGAGAGAGATAGGGAGGGAGGAAGGGCAGAGAAAGAAAAGGGAAAGGGAAAAGAAAAGAAAAAGAAAAAAATAGCCAGATGCTGTGGCTCACACCTATAATTCTAGCATTTTGGGAGGCCAAGGCCCAAGAAGGATTGCTTGAGGTCAGGAGTTCAAGATCAGCCTGAGCCAAGAGTAAGACTCCAGTCTCTACCAAAAATTGAAAAATTACCTGGGTGTGGTAGCACATGCCTGTAGTCCCAGCTACTTGGGAGGCTGAGGCAGGAGAATCACTTGAGCCCAGGAGTTTGAGGTTGCTGTGAGCTAGGCTGATGCCACAGCACTCTAGCTGGGGCGACAGAGCAAGACTTTGTCTAAAAAAAAGAAAGAAAAAGAAAAATATTTACCTTCAATCTAAAAATCCTTTAGATATAACTTCTGTTTTACAGAAAATTAGTGGCTTACAGAAGTAAGCTAAACATCACCACAAGGATGCAAACACACATCTAGAAGGTGGAACATTTTGTAGGACAACTCAATTGCTTTCACTAATCAGAGTCCTAAAAAAGAGACTATACTAGATTAAAATAAACTAAGGGGAAATGTGTGGTCCTAGATTGGGTATGGGTTTATATAAACCAGCTGTAATAATAATTTGAGTAAACTGGAGAAATTATAATATGACCTGGAAATTAGATAAGATGAAAATATACTGAAATACAAAAGCAGAGGGTGTTAACTAAATGAAACAGATTATTAAAAAGTGATAAAACAACTTCAGAATATATTTGGTTTTATACACACGCACACACAGTTGTTATAGCGGTGTTCTCTAGGTGGTTGTTTTTTAACTTGTTTGTATTTTCTAATGTTCAACAAAGCATATGCACTGCTTATGTAAAAATAGAGTGTTTTAAATAGTGACATAGAGGCCCACGTACACTCTTATTTTGTAATTTTTTTCACTATTAAAAATAATCTCAGGCCGGGCGCTGTGGCTCACGCCTGTAATCCTAGCTCTTGGGAGGCCGAGGCGGGTGGATTGCTCAAGGTCAGGAGTTCAAAACCAGCCTGAGCAAGAGCGAGACCCCGTCTCTACTATAAATAGAAAGAAATTTATTTGGCCACTTATATATATATAGAAAAAATTAGCCGGGCATGGTGGCGCATGCCTGTAGTCCCAGCTACTCGGGAGGCTGAGGCAGGAGGATCGCTTGAGCCCAGGAGTTTGAGGTTGCTGTGAGCTAGGCTGACGCCACGGCACTCACTCTAGCCTGGGCAACAAAGCGAGACTCTGTCTCAAAAAAAAAAAATAATAATAATAATAATCTCAGCTGAGCGTGGTGGCTCATGCCTATAATCCTAGCACTCCGGGAGGCCGAGGTGAGCGGATGGCTCAAGGTCAGGAGTTCGAAACCAGCCTGAGCAAGAGCGAGACCCCGTCTCTACTGTAAATAGAAAGAAAATTAATTGGACAACTAAAAATATATAGAAAAAATTAGCCAGGCATGGTGGCACATGCCTGTAGTCCCAGCTACTCGGGAGGCTGAGGCAGGAGGATCGCTTGAGCCCAGGAGATTGAGGTTGCTGTGAGCTAGGCTGACACCACGGCACTCACTCTAGCCTGGGCAACAAAGCAAGACTCTGTTTCAAAAAAAATAAAAAATAAGGAATAAATAGTGACATAGATTTAAATGGGACGGACTTACCGTGAAGATGATACAGTTTAAGCTTCAGAGCCTCTAATTCAGGTGGGCCGTACAAGGCTCCAGGAGGACCTCTAGCAATTTTGTGTCATACTTTTGTGGTGGCTTTATTTTATTTTTAAAAGTCTAGCACCTTTTTATTGTGGCAAAATATATATAACATAAAATGTACCGTTTTAACAATTTTAAATGCACAGTTTAGTGGTATTAAGTACATTCATGTTGCTGTGCAACCATCACCACCGTCCATCTCCAGAACTTGTTCATCTTCCAACCTGAAACTCCGTACCCATTAAACAGCAACTCCCCATTCCTCACTCCACTCAGTCTTCTTATTTTTAAGGGTTTCCAAAATTCTATAAGTTTCAAGTTCCTCAAAACCTGGGACCAGCCCAACCTTACAACCAGATATCCTGGTAACTCCTGTGCAAGCTTTGAAATGACCCCTTGCACTGAGGATAAAGTGGCTTTATCCTCAAACCAAAAGACAGTCAATATAGTTGAGGAGATTGTCAACAAAGGTCTCAATGTGCAAAGAGCAGCGATTGTGGCAGCATCAATATCACTGAATGCACAAGGATTCCTCCCAGAGATTGTACCTAACACTTGAGTTTACATCTCTTTTGCCAGAACATAGTCACATGACCTTACCTAGCTGCAAGGTGGCAGGCCAGGAAATATAATCTTTCTTCCAGAAAAGCTTGTGCCCAACTGAAAATCAGGTATTTTATTGCTAACAGACTGGAGAAAATAGATATTGGGATAGACAACTAAGCATCTGTTGTATCGTTTTTAAAAAAATTCCATGTGCTGATTTCTGAGGTTTGGTGGGGGCAGGGAGGAAGGGGTAGACATCTTAAAGCATCATTTATACAATTGCTTAGCATCTTGTTTAGAGCCCAAAACTCTCCTGCTTACAGTTAGCTTTCCAGACTGGGTACTCAAGCCTTCTTCCACTGAGGGTTAATGAATACCACAGAAATGGGCTTAACACACCTGTATGGAAAAGAGAAAAAAATCCTCTTCTCAATTAACTTTGGGATATCGCATTGGCCAAATGTATCCAAACTGCATTATCTAAACCAATAAGCTTTATTGTTGTGGTTAAGCCTTGACTATGAAAAGCAAAGAATCTGTTTATTAATTACCATCATTTTATACTGTGTGTCCCTTTCCAGGCTGTTTCTAGGGAAATGCAAACCACAGGATGTGGTCTCTGACCCTATTCTTAGAGAATGGGACCCTGGAGGACATTCTCCCCACGTAGTAAACAAAAGAAAATGTGGAAAGTGAGCTCAGAAGTTGCTTCACAGACCGGGGAGCTGTAACAGGTGCTCGAGCAGCGGCATGATCTAAATGACCAGGTGTGAGGGCCCACGGAACCAGATGAGAAAGGTCCTGGTGCGTCAGCCCTCTCCCTGACTTTACAATGAGATGCAAAAATCAACTCTCAGCTTGACCTTTGTGCATAAGGGTTGTCAAACTGTTCTTCTAAATCTGTCACATTTGTCTTTGATGGTTAATACTTTATGTTAGTAAAGTCTGGAATTTTGTCCAAATCAGAATACAATTTCTCCCAGAAATGGGCTAGGATAGTGGTCAGCCTGTTTGGTTCTTTGCCCTTGATCCAGCTACCTGAAGATTTGGGCTTTTTCTTCCTCTGGCTCAAGGGTGAGGGATGCTGTCACTCTGAGAGGGCATGGCTTGCTGATCCCAGCAGAGCTGCTCATCAGTGTTCTACTCCTCCCAGCTGGCGCCCTAACAAGGCCAGCCTCTGGGCAAGAAACTAATTACTTCTCCTGCTCCTTCTGTTTGACCTCCTACAGGAAATAAACCCTGCAAAAGGAACCAGACCACTGTAGCAGAGCACAGAGCAGGCAAGAACTGTTTCCGTAAGCAGAGAAGGCTACTGCAGATCCACCAGGGTGTGGGGGGGCCGGCCTCATGCAGAGCTCAGGAAGGCTGGGTTTCCCATGGACAGGCAGTCCTGGAAGTCATTTGGGGTAGGTTGCATTCAGAGTAAGGGAGGGTTGAAAGGCAGGGAGGGCATTTTCCTCTTAGTGGTAGAGGAGCTTCCTGACAGCCGTCCTTCCTTGCTGTCTGCCTGGCTCACTGCTTTCTCAGCAAGTTCTGGGAGAGCTATGTCCTGGGGTCCCGACAAGGCCTGGGGAATGTCAGGGCATGAATAAGGCATAAAAGCACTCTGGAGGAAAAGGGAGGTTCCTCTGCATTTCCCTTTCCTGAAGGCCTGCGCTGGTTTTCATGATGTCATCCATTCATCATTGTGAGCTGACTGGTGGTCCCAGGGCTTGGCCAGCTGCCCAAGGCCAAGAGAGAAGAGAGAGATCCCAGGACAAATGTGCAGCAGGCCCCTGAGCATGTGTAGAAATGTCATCAATTCCACATAGAAACACTTGGTGGAAATCGAAGAAGACAGTAAAAGTCACAAGATCCTATCCAACTTTCCCTTCCCTGAATGCCTGGGAAGAATTCAGGGGCCTCTTGCCAGTGGATAGGGAACAGAACCCTGGAGTGACCTTGGGTGTGGAGGAGGGACTGCTCTGCCAGCTGCTTCATTCTCCAGAATTCAACCTGTTTCCTGACTCCGTGGTGTTTGAAAGCAACTTTGTCCAGGTACACTTGGGTGGCTCAGAATAGCATTTCTTGATTCTTCTAAATCTGTTCCCAAATATGACCAAGAGAGTTCATCCCTGAAACTACAGTGGAGTGAGAATGGAGGCCAGGAGAAGTTATCGGGCCTGGAATGCAAGGCTGCCTCATTTACCTGGGCTTTGCAGAGCCGCAGACAGGGCTACTCCTGCACACAGTGGTCTCCTGGGGAGAGAGGCCAGGCATTCTCTGCTCTAAGCAGAGGATTTAGTATTCAAATCCCCAGTTTTTTTCATCCCTCAGGTTGTCATCCAAAGCAGATGAACAAAAAGGCAGTGAAACGAAATGCCCTTTAAGGATTAGGAACAGAAATGCTGATTAGTGAAAAAACAGGTCCTCAGGACCTAGAAAGACCTGGGCTCAGATTCCGGTCCTCTTCTTTCCCCTTGGGGAGGCATCATTGTGCAAGTAACCAGAGTACCCTGAATCATTTCCTCTATTGTAAAAGGGTTGGATTGACCTGAGAATTGAATGCACATACAGCAAGCAAAGGCACCCAGTGCATTTTTGTTTCCTTGCCTGGGCTCTCCTCAGGCCAGATGGAACCCAGACAAACAGAACTTTGGAGTTGGAAGGGACATTCCTGTTCAGAGAAGGTGCAGGAAATAATAGGACCCCTCAGAGAAGGGCTAAGAAGACAAATTTTCCAAAGGAAGGCCAGAAAACAGTCCAGGGAGGATTTATAGGAATATAATAGATACCAGAAAACTCCTGGGTTATAGTTCTTTTGGACAATTGTTAATAGTAGGTCATTTAAATGCTGTTACAGTTGTTTGACCAATACAGGTTAAAACAGGTGGCTCTCAACAAGCAGCTATTTTTGTCTCTCACTGCCAAAGGACATTTGGCAATGTCTGGAGATATTTTGGGTATCACAATTTGGATTGGGGGGGGAGTGCTACTAGCATCCAGTGTGTAGATGCCAAGGATGCTGCTAAACATTCTACAATGAGTAGGATGACAGCATCCCCGACACCACCACCCAACAAAAAATATCCAGCCCAAAAAGCTAACATTGCCAAGGTTGAGAATCCCTGGCTGAAACATACTGCTGCTTGTGCTAAATGCTCAGGCTGTGCCTGGGGGCTGCATTGCAGGTCAAAAGGGGCAGGAATTGGATAGACATCTACAAGGCCTCCAACACCATGGCCCTTGGGGTGACCTCCTCTGTGCCCTGCCTGCCCCTTCCCAACATCCTCCTCATGGCCAGCGTCAAATGGCACCGGGGGCAGAGCCAGACATGGAACAGACCATCTACAGCCCCAAACATCATCCTGAAAAGGTAAGCAACAAAGATGGGAACATGGAGGACATGAGTGAAGGGCAGACCCAAAGTGGAGGCTGCATGGTGACTAAAATCAGGGTGGAGAGAAAGAGAAGTCAGCAGTGACATTAATTGTTGTAGTCAACCGTAATCCGAGACAGATGGTCTGCTAGAAGGACAGAGGTCAAGTGGCTGAGGGAGGTGTCACATGGACAGGAGTTGAGGGGTCAGTCTACATGCCCACTGTCCTTCTCGCTACACTCACCCCGCTGAACTCAGGAAAGCTCTTGGCATTTGGCTGAGTGGCAAGGAGGCATGGAGCTCTGGCAGATGGAGCAGGGGTTGAGAGAGGCAGATTGGTTGTAGTCCTTCATATGCAACTGATTAAACTCAATTTTTGAGTCACAAGTCACTTGCTGCACCTCATTTTTTCTACTGGTAAAGTGAATGGGACTCTCAGAACTGTGATGTATAATGACATCTTGCTTATCTGGGTTGAAACAGCAATTTTTAATGTGTGAGCCTCTTTTTGTTTGTTTGTTTGTTTTAGTTGTTGTTGTTATTTGAGACAGAGTTTTACTCTGTTGCCCAGGCTAGAGTGTTGTGGCATCAGCCCAGCTCACACAGCTTCAAACTCCTGGGCTTAAGCAGTCCTTCTGCCTCAGCCTCCTGAGTAGCTGGGACTACAGGCCTGTACCACCATGCCCGGCTAATTTTTTCTATATATTTTTAATTGTCCAATTAATTTCATTCTATTTTTAGTAGAGACGGGGTCTCGCTCTTGCTCAGGCTGGTTTCGAACTCCTGACCTTGAGCTATCCGCCGCCTTGGCCTCCCAGAGTGCTAGAATTACAGTCATGAGCCACCGCACCTGGCCTGAGTCTCTTTGAATAATCTGTAGTATGTCTCAAGAATGTCTAGATATTCCCAGAAGTCCAGGAAAACCCTTCATTTCTCCACGCTACCTTAGTAACGAACCTCTTCATTATGTTATTAGTATACCTCTAGCAAGGACAGCCCAGTCCCAGCTAGTATTAGATCCAAAGCCAGCTCTTTAGACCTTACCTCCATTGGGAAGAGTAATTAAGGCATTAAGGTCAATGAATGGACAAGCTGGACAGTGGGGCCAGCTCCCTTGGTGCTATCAAGAAGGAAATTACAAAACCCTATGACTCCAACCACCTTACTCTCCTACGCTGTCTCTCTCAAGTAGGGTCCAGGAATTAGCAGCATGAGAATCATGCCAGGACCATACCCCAGACCTACTAAATCTGAATCTATGAGGGTGTATTCAGGTGTCTGCATGTTAAACAACCTTCCCAGGTATATCTGATCTCCTCAATGTTTCAGCACCACTGTGCTAAGTGCCCTTTCTTCTATGTCCAAAGCCTCAGTCCTAAAGGAGATATTCCTTGTTTTAATGAAGATAGGGTCGGATCAGAAGCAATGGGGTTGTCAATGTGTGTCTTCCCTGGTGGCTTCAGGATTCTCCCATTGAAGTTTGTGGAGCTCCAGGTCTGTGACCGTCTTCAGCGCATCCTGCGGTTGAGGACAGTCACTGAGAAGATCTATTACCTAAAGCTCCACCCCAACCATCCTGCGACCGTCTTCCACTTTTGGATCCGACTGGTTCAAATTCTGCAGAAGGGTCTCTCCATCACCACCAAAGACCCTAGGATTCTTGTCTCTCACTGCCTGGTACCCAAGAACTGCTGCAGCCCCTCAGGAGACTCCAAGGTAAGGGAGCACCACTGCCAGCCTTCAGTCAAGGCCAGAGCTGAGGGGTAGACCTTAGACCTGCTGGTATGTGAGCACCCTAGGAAGGTGGTCTCAGCCTTATGCCTTTTCTAAAGAGCTTTATTGAGGTATCATTTACAACCATAAAATTCATCCATTGTATGTGTACAGTTCAACACTTTCAGTAAACGTATAGAATTGTGCAACCATCACCACTATCCAGTTTAGCACATTTCCATTTCCCTAAAAAATTCCCTCTTGCTCATTTGCAGTCATTCCCTGTTCCTACTCCCAGCTCTAGGCAACCATTTGTCTATTTTCACCTCTATAAATTCATCTTTTTTAGATATTTCCTATAAATGGAATCCTATCATACAACAAATAGTCTTTTGTGTCTGGCTTAGCATAATGTTTTTCAGGTTCATCCACATTGTAGCATGGGGCCCACCCCAGGGCAGAGGCACAGCCATCAGTAGTTTGTTCTTTTCAGTTGCTGAATAGTATCCCTTTATGTAGATTTACCACATTTTTGTATCCATTCACTGGTTGATGGACATTTTCCAGTTTAGGGCTATTATGAATAATGCTGCCATGAACATGTGTGTACAGGTTTTTGTAGACATATGTTTTTATTTGTCTTGGGTAGATTCCAAGGAATGAAATTTCCAGGTTATGTGGTAAGTTTATGTTTAACTTTTAAAGAAACTGGCCAACTGTTTTCCAAAGTGGCTGTACCATTTTACATTCTTACCAGCAATACATGAGAGTTTCAGTTTCTCCACATCCTCACCAGTACTGGTATTGTTTATCTTATTTATTGTTCTTTATTTAACCATTCTAGCAGGTGTGGTTTTAATTTGGATATCTGCGTGGTTGCTATAAGAAAAAAATTGGGGTATCTGTAATGACTAGTGATGAAGAACTTTTCATGGGCTTATTCGTTGTTTGTATATCTTCCTTGGTCATATGTCTATTCAAATCTTCTGTCCATTTTTAAATTGGGTTTTGTCTTATTGCTTTGTAAAAGTTCTTTGTGTATTTTGGATACAAGTCCTTTATCAGGTTTATGGTTTGCAAATATGTTCTCCTTGTCTGTGAATTTTCATTTTCATAATGATATCTTTTGAGGGAAAAAAATTAATTTTGATGAAGTGTAATTTATCAAATTTTTCTTTTATAGATCAGGGTTTTGGTGCATATCTAAGAATTCTTTGTTCAACTTAAAGTCACAAAGATTTTATCCCATATTTTCTTCTAGGAGTTTTGTAGATTTAGTTCTTACATTTATGTGTATGATCCATTTTGAGTTAATATGTATACATGGAATGAGGGAAGGATCTAAGTAGTAGACTATCCTTTCCCCGTTAACTTGTCTTGGCACTTTTGTCAAAAATCAATTGATCATAAATGTAAGAATTTATCTCTTAATTCTCAGTTCTGTTCTGTTGATGTATTTGCCTATTCTTGTGCCAATACCACAATGTCTTGATTAATGTAGCTTTATATTAAGTGTTGAAAATGAGTGGTATGTCTTCCAATTTTGTTCTTTTTCAAATTGTTTTGGCTATTCTAGATATTTTGCATTTCCATATAAATTTTAGGATCAGTTTGTCAATTTCTGCAAAATGAAAAAAGCCTGCTAGAATTTTGATGAGCACATGTTGAATTTACATATCAATTTGGGGGAGAAGTGCCATTTTGACAATGTTGAGTCTTCCAATATATGGAGATGGAATTTCTTTCCATTTCTTTCAGTCTTCTTTAATTTCTCTTAAATTAAAAGAAATGTTTTTAATTTTTAGTATTTGACATTTAACAAAAATGTTTTATAGTTTTCAGTAAATAAGTTCTATACTTCTTTTGTTAAATGTATTCCTAAATATTTTATTATTATTGATGCTATTATAAATGGAATTGTGTTTTCTAAATTTTACTTTTGGATTATTCATTGGTAGTATATAGAAATACAATTGGTTTTTGTATATTAATCTGGTTTATTAGTTATAGTAGTTTTTGTGGATTCCTTGGTATTTTCTACATAGATACATACATACATACATTCATGCCTCTGCAAATAAAGACAATTTTCTTCTTTACTTCCAATCTGGATCAATTTGTTTGTTTGTTGCTTTATTTCATTAGCTAGAACCTCCAGTATAATGTTTGCTGGAAGAGGCAAAACAGATATCCTTGCCATTTCCCAATCATAGGGAAAAAACAAATAGTCCTTTGCTATTAAGTATGATGCTAATTATGGAATATTTTTAGATACCCTTTATGAGGTTAAGGAAGTTCCCTTTATTCCTAGCTTACTGAGGTTATTCTTTTTCTTTCTTTTTTTTTTTTTATCACAAATGAGTATTGGATTTTGTTAAATCCTTTTTCTGTATATATTAAGATGACCATGTGGTTTGTCCTTTATTCTGTGAATATAGTATATTACATTAATGGCTTTTATGATGTTAAACCACCCTTGTGTTCCTGCAATAAATTCTACTTGGTCATGGTATCTATAATGTTTTTTATATTTACTGAATTCATTTGCTAGCATTTTGTTAAGGAATTTTTGCATCTATGTTAATGAGAGATATTTGTCTATAATTTTCTTGTGACATCTTTGTGATACCCTGGCTTTGATATCAAGTTAGTATTAGCCTAATTGAATCAGTTGGGAAATGTTCCCTTCTCCTCTATTTTCTGAAAGAGTTTGTGAAGAATTTTGATTACTTGTTCCTTAAATATTTGATAGAATTGAATGATGAAGCCACCTGCGCCGTTTTGTCCAAGGTCTTTGAGCATGATAAGCATAGCCTGACTTGAACTACAATATAAACTCCATGAAGGCAGGGATTTTTATCTGTCCTCTTCACTGCTATATCCCTATTACCAGGCACATAGTTAGCATTCAGTAGATACTGAATGAATGAATGAATAAGTATGGACAGCATGCACAACTGAAGCACCTTTAGGATATTACAGTCAACAGGAAAGAAATTAATTTTACCCAGGTGTAAAAAGCAGCTCAACATAGAATTTTTCTTAGACAAATTAATTTTTAAAACATTCATTAAATTCCCATAATAAATATATGATTCCCCTACACTTAAGTATAAAACGATGTAGTATAAACTTTATTAAGTTTATATTAGTAGGCTATTAATAAATTATATTAAGGTATATTAACAGGAATAGGTTATCTATTAAATTATGTCAAAATTATACAATGGTGATATATTGTTCAAAGGCACCGAAGGATATTTATACCAATACAAGCAGTGTAAACAAACAGTTACAGCCTCAGAAATGCCTCTAGGAGCAGCTGGTATGGCTGCACAATGGAAGAGTTTGAGTTCTAACAATTTAGAATCTGGACTATGGTATTAGGACTATGCAGAGACCCTTAGGCTTTAACCACCTGGTTTTGTTTTGTTTTGTTTTTTCTCCATATAGTTAGTACAGAAGAAACCCCAAGCCTCCCAGCCCAGTGAGAGCCTCATTCGGCTAATGGCCAAGGGGGAGAGCGAGGCTCTCTCTCAGATTTTTGCCGACTTGCACCAGCAGAACCAGTTCAGGTACATGACTTAAATCAGGCCAGCCTCTGACATTCCTTCCTGCGCCCAGATGGTCTGGGCGGTGAGATCCAGAAACCAAGTATCTTGCTTAATGAGCACAGGGAGGGGGCATGGAAAGCTGCCACTCAGTACCCAGCCTTTTGTGTGTGTGTGTGTGGCTTTGTAGCTCACTGTAACCTCACAGAGCAAGCATAGTAGGCTTGACTCCAGAGGAGGAATTTCATAAACTGTAAATAGTAAATCTCCAACAGTGAGAATAAGTTAGTAACACAGGTGGAAAAGTAAACCCTAATTTCTAAAAACTAACTTCTAATCCAATTCCTAGTCCTACAGAGAAATATCCAAAATATTGTTCAAAACATTATCTACTTATTGGGTTCATTGACCCACTCACCTGGTCCCTGCTTGGACTTTATGGAGCTTCTAAATATATAGTCTGTTCTGCAAAGCTCCGTGGCACAAGACCTATCCTCCTCATGCTTAAGTAAATGTGCCTCTATGTACAGATGACTTAGCCTTGAGTCTTAAGACTGGTTAGTACGGGAGAGACAGGAGTTGAGAACACTTAGACCAGAGGGTACCACAACCAGAGTACCAGTCCCAGGTGAAGTGGGACCCAGGGTCCTAGTGCATGTTATTTGCAGTTTAATAGAAAAGGGAGAATAGAAATAAATTAGTAAATGTCACCAGGAGAGAAAAATGAGGTGTCATGGAGATTTTTGTCACTACGGGAACCATGTGGACCAGCAACCCAGAGGCAGAACAAAGCCCCTTTCTTTCTGAGTGCTGGTAATAAACCAAAACCAGTAGGCCTCAGAGGAAGGGATCTCTTATAGAGACCAAGAGCTCATGTAGACCTGGGCCCAAGGCACTGTTCTAACTGCATCCTTGAGCATATTGTTTAATTTTTCTAGGCCTCAGTTTTTAGATCTATAAAATAGAAATGATAATAATGCCCTCCTTATCCAGATAGTGTCAAGATCAAATGCTCTCATATGCATCAAGTACTTAGCACACTCCTCAGCAGATTTACAGGCAAATACAAGTAAGCTGTCAATAAATGTTAACTTGTAGTATTGACTCCAACTCAGGCTGGAGCTAGAAAAGTATTAGCACAAGAAAAAGTACTATCTGTTGCCCAGTGTAAAGGATATATACTGGAGATTGTCACTCTATAGATCACCAGAGATCTATAATTAAGGAACTTCTGGACAAGATGTTAAATTGCTGAGCTAGAGGGCACTAGACTATAATAGCAAGATATTTTGAAGCAACTTCTTGATTGCCTCAAAATACTAAATCACTGATTTTTAAATTAATATTTAAAGGACGGCTTCTGTTTCTATCTCACTGGCCACAACTCAAGTCACCTGGCCACACCCAGCTGCACGGGAGGCTGGGAAAAGTACTCTCCATTCTGCATAGCCATGTGCCCAACACAAAATCAGCTGCTTTGCCCCAGAGGGAGAAAGGAAGAAGGGTTGCTGGGGGCCTCCTGGCACTCTCTGGCACCAACAGCTTTTAATATTTCCTAAAGGTCAGAGGAGGCTAAGACCTGAAGCAGAAATAGGCAACACACAGATAAAAGGGTTGCAATGGGCCAGACAGTTTAAGGTAACAAGCAGGTGCAAGGCTGAGGCTTCCCCCTGAGCAAGCAGCTCGGCTGAAGACCAGCGGGGAGAGCAGGCAGTGGTGGAGGAGAATAAGTAACAGTGGGCAGGGGCCGCACCAGGCAGGGCCTGGGAAGCCATGCAAAGGAATTTAGACTTTAAGTGTCATGGGAACCTTAGCTGCATGTTAAACAGGGAAGTGATGTGACCCAATTTACATTTTGAAAAGGTCATGCTAGCAGTTGCTGTGACAGTTAATTTGAGGGAGAGAGAACAGATGTGGTGAGACCAGCTAGGGAGCTATGGCAACTTAGTCTGGGCTGTCACGTACAAAGCGGATTGGAAGAATACAAGAAACAGGGCAGGGGGAATTAATTTTTACTTCACTGTTATCTCAGTTGCTTTGTACAGACAGACGTTTTAGTTCCTTTAGTTTCCCAAAACCAAGGCCTGGGTGGCCATTTTTCTTCTCATTCAGACACGTTCTAGTCTGGTTGCAATTATTATCAGTTTTTGCACATTGGGCAACAACATGCAACTTAATAGCAAATAAAATAAATGGCTGAGATACAGGACTGGACAGATGCAGTCACCACCTTCCCCTCCGCAGCAGAATCAGCTCCCACCTTGGACTCTGCTCCCACCCCCCACCCCCTTCCACCTCCCCCTTCCACCTCCCCCTTCCCTACCTTTCTTCTGGAACTTTGGTATGTGTTACAGCCACCCAGCATAGCCACAGCTGGCCTTTTCATGCTTATATCTGTCTCCAAAGCTTTGGTATCAGGAAAAATATAACACGGAACAAGATTTGAAACATGAATTTAATGCTCTTTTCCTTTACTTTCCACCTTCATCTCCTTGATCCTGAAATGGCTGGAGTTTCAGGAGCAGCAAAAAGATGGAGACCAAGAAGGACAGCTCAGGTAAGGAAGGGCACAGGGCGCCGTGAGAGCTTTCTGCTCTGCGGACGCAAGAATAAGATCCGCTGCAGTTCCCCATCCTGACCTTCCTGGCACTGCCAGGACTGCCATCGTCTCCCATGCCTTAGTTTGAATTCCTCGAGGCTCTCTGGCCACCCTAGTGACTTTGCCACCAAGTCTTAACAATTTCTCTCTTTGCAATGGTTCTTACATTCCTTACTTCATTTCTGCCCCCACAGACGCTATCCTAGCCTAGTCCTTTCTCACCCCAACCTGCAGCAATTTTCCACTTGTTCATTCATCCATTTCTTCATTCAAAAGCAGGCACTAAGCACCTTGCAAGTGCCAATCACTGTTGTAGGCTTTGGGTTCACCATGGCAAGAGACACTATACCACCTTCAAGGAGTTTACAATTTGGTGGGGTCAGGCGGGGAAACCCCCAAATTACAAAACCTCTCCTTCCAGGCAGCGTTCAAAGCGCATGCCTGGGGTGCCCATGCGGCACAAAGCAGGAGATGGTGGTCCCTCGCTTCTCCCAGGAAGCTGGCCTGGGAGGCACAGGTGTGAGCTGAGCCTCAGAGGGTGAGTACAGGTGAGCTGGCCCAAGCAGATGAGAGAGGGCATTCCAGGAAGAAGAGACAGGGTCTGCATGAGGGAGCATGACATATTCTGGAAACAGCAGCCAGTTCCCTGTTTCCAGGTTCTAGCACAAATCTACTCCGTTTGGCATGCATGGTGCTGCACAGACTTTCTGTTTCACCCATCTCACCTGATCACTCACTGCTCTAACAGGAGCCCTCAGCCTCGCCACCCTCTGCAGCCCAAACCTGCTCCAACAAACCTTAGCTAAGCTTCCCCAAGCCTCCTTCATCCACGCTCCGCCCTCTTCCTCCAGGCACCACTCTCAACCTCACCTACCCTTCTCACCTACCCTCACCTCCCCCTCACAAAGCTCTCCTTCCCCGACTAATCTCTCCTTGCTCATACCTCTCTTACATTATTCCCTAGTTGTTTCACAGGTTAAAGGGATATTTCTTCAGTGAATACTAAGTGGTCTTCATACCTCTCACTTAGCCACAGCAGCAAGCACAGGGCTGGGAACACAATAAGAGTTCACCAAATATCCATATACCACGCCACTAATAAATTATTTCTCCACATCACCTCAGGAAGCAGTCAGAACATCACGTTATTAGATATTTAGAAATTTCCAGGAGGTTGTAGATCCTAGGGGAACTCTGCTAACTTTCATCCAAACAAGGGATTACAAACTCATATGTCTGGAGGTGGTAATAAAAGTCTGGGTGACATGGATATAAGCAATAATTCACTTTTCTGTAAATTCTATTATAAATAAAACAACTCATGGCAGCTGACACTTGGTTTCAGCATTAGGAGACAATAGGGAGTGGTGGTGATAGTGGCAACCAGAAAGTGAAGGTTTCAATTAAGGCTTCAATTAATTGTCACCATGCTGGAACCCAGGCCTGCTGTTGCCAGATACTCTGATTTTGCAAGATAAGCCCAAAATCTGGATTTTTATGTAACAGACTCCCACCCCATAAAAAAAAAGAAAGTGCATTATAGGCTAACAGTGAGCAAACAAAACATATCTGCAGACCACATTTAGTCACATTCAGCCCGGAGGCCTCCCCAGCTCTGGTGAGCAGAGCTGCAGTTACCCCACATTTTCTCCAAGTCTAGGAATGCTTTCTCATGCTATGCTACAGATGACACAGTGGTGATTCATTTCAGTTTCCACACATACATTCAAACATACACACACACATATAAACATACACACTTGGCCAGGCACGGTGGCTCAAGCCAGTAATCCTAGCACTCTGGGAGACTGAGGCGGTAGGATTGCTCAAGGTCAGGAGTTCGAAATCAGCCTGAGCAAGAGCGGGGACCCCGTCTCTACTAAAAATAGAAACAAATTAATTGGCCAACTAAAAATATATAGAAAAAATTAGCCGGGCATGGTGGCTCATGCCTGTAGTCCCAGCTACTTGGGAGGCTGAGGCAGAAGGATTGCTTGAGCCCAGGAGTTTGAGGTTGCTGTGAGCTAGGCTGACACCAAGACACTCTAGCCTGGGCAAGAGAGTGAGACTCTGTCTCAATAAATAAATAAATAAACAAACATACACACTCAAAACATACCCCATGAGGTTAGGGTTGAGGAAAACAGAAATAAAAATATTTCAAACTTATTTCTGGCACTTGAGAAAAGAGCTAGAATTTTAGGGTCACAGAATATCTGACATCATGGGAGCCACCCAAGATGTTCCCAGGTCGATTTCAATTAACCCTCCTGGGATGGCCCCTGGACCCTCTATTCTCATTGGGCCAGGTAGCATACCTTCTCAGTTTGGAAAGGAGAGTTACACCCCAGCCTCATGGAAATTTTGGATGCAAAAAGAGAGAGAGCTACAGTGGAAAACCCAGCAGCTTACCTGTGTGGCTGAACCTTTCAACTCCCCACCAGCAGGTGGAGTGGCCTACTACTAAAGTGCTTCCCAAACTTTAATGTGCAAACCTGTGGATCTTGTTAAAATGCAGATTCTAATTCCTTAGGTTCGGGTAGGTTTGGGATTGGGACTGTGCATGTCTAACATGCTCCCAAGTGCTGCCAAAGCTGCTGGGCTGGGGGCCACCCTTTGAGTAGCCAGGGCCAAGTGGACAAAGAACAGGCTCTGGCATAAGGCCTTCTGGGTTCAAGACCATTGCCAGTTTAGCTAGCTTTACCTCCTGGGGAAATCTACTCAGTTAATCTCTCCAAACCATGCTGGGTCTCTCCTTTTACTGGCACTGTGTTGCTCACAGGATGTAGTAAGAACATGAGTTCTGGGGCCGAGCTGCCTAGCTTTGAATTCTGATCTTGCCTCCTCAGTAAGTCACTTACCCTCTCCGGGCCTCAGATTCCTCACACTTGCAATGGGGATTGTGGCAGTGCTGACCTCACAATGTCATTGTGAGGACTGAGGGAACACGGATGCATGTCATTGTTTGGAGCAGTGCCGGGCATGTAATGAGCACTCCCAAAATGTTGGTTGCAATCTGTGGGTGCTCTGTGAACAAATAAATGCATTCCTTCTCTTGACCTAGTGAAAGATACTTCTCGCGAAGACGAAGACAGCATCCCTTGTACCCGAGACCTCAGTTGGAGGGAATCGTTCACATATGGAGAGTGGGAAAGAGAGAACCCCTCTGGGCCGCAGCCACTCTCACTCCTCAGCACTCTGGCAGCCTCCACCAGGCCACAGCTGGCCCCACCCATAGGTACAGTGACCGGATTAACCCGCTGACATCAGGGGGCAGCCCTGGAGTTCAACCTCAGGGCTGGGTCAGGTCCTGGGGTCCTGAGGGTGATTCCAGAAAGCTTGTAGGGTTGGGGTGGAGGACACAGGCCACAGCAACCTCAACCTTCTCTTTTCCTGCCTTTTTGTTCTCTGCCACCAACTGGGTTGAGCAAAACCCTGAAGTGTGGCACCTTCAGAGCCCCCAGAGTTCCTACAAGTGGCTCTGAAGGGACAGACGAGAATGGACATGTGGGAGGCAGGAGAGGCCTGCTCTGGGGAGTTCCTGTGCATTCTTCCTCACTCTTCCTCCCCCAGAGCTCTTGGAGAGCTTGCTTCCTGCTGGGGTTGGGTGCAGAGAGCGAGAAGGAGGTAGGCTAGGAGGGCTGGGGAAAGTCAGCCTTCCCTGGGGTTCCAGCCCTTTTCTGTCCATGCTCAAGGTGCATTCATCCACTCACTCATTCATTTAATAAACATTTGTGAAGTACTTCCTATGTGCCTGTCTGACCAGAGATAGCTTCCTAAAGAAGGTAGTGGTGATGTATGTTTTCTAAAGTAAAATATTACTAATAAACCACTAACTCTTATAAGATACCTGTTATTAATAGTTGACAATTTTTAAAAATTGTCAGGGTGGTGGCTCACATCTGTAATCCCAGCACTTTGGGAAACTGAGATGAGAGCCTCACTTGAAACCAGAAGTTCAAGACCAGCTTGACTCTCCAAGTACTCAGGGGCCAAAAACAAACAAACAAAAAAAATAAAAAAAAAAAAAAAAAAAAAAAGACCAGCTTGAGCAACATAGCAAGACCCTATCTCTACAAAAAAAAAAAAAAAAAAAAAAAATTAATTAACATAAGCATGTGCCCATAAAAGAGCTTTTTAGGTAAATTATAGTCTATCAAACATTTTTCTCTCCTACACTCGCAGGCAATTCCATTTGAGCCGCCTTGTCATGCAGGGGAGAATCTACTCAGCCCCCGACAACACCACTCTGCAGTATTCAGCTCCAGGGGCTCAGTGGCTGGAGGGGCGGAGAAAGCTGCAACTAAGGGAAAACTGGAATCATCTCCCGGTGACATCAGAGCCTTTCCTCATTCAGCGGTGCGTAATTTCATGCCCTTGGCGCCACACCTCAGCGCAGCCCACCTCCATCCCACAGCCAGAGCCGGCCCAGGACCAAGAGATGGAGGCAGGGGTGAAAGCGAACCAGGCCAGAGGAGAGGCAGAAGACAGCAGAACCAACGTAAAGAGGAAGGTGGCGGGAAGAAGTCAGAGAAGAGGAGAGACCCAAAGAGAAGTGATAACAGAAGGAAATAGAAGAGACTTGGTAGACGAGATAAAGAGGACAAGAGAAGAAACACATCCCTGAGAGATGCCTCCAAGTTTCTATTTATCTAATTTAAAACTTGAAAGTAAAGCCATAAACCAAAAATAGAAACGTGTTTTCTCCTCTGCTGAGACCACTCTGGACAAGTATGAAGGGCTAGACTCCTTCAATTTCCTTTTTTGCCAGTTTTTCTTGCTAATTCCTCTCTTCTGGCTCTAGCTTTACACCTTCTTCCTTAGCCTGCTCCCTAACTTGGACTTGCTAACCCAGCCCTGGTGTTCTGAATAGAGGTTTGGTTTGAGCAAAGGAATGGTTCTCACAGGAGGTAGTAAGATAGGCATGTATGGTAGGGTGAATTTCTATTTTATGTTCATACTCCCTAAGTTTGGTGTTCCCCAGCCCTACAAACACCAGCTCTGTTTTGTTTTGTTTTTTTATGTTTGACATCTCCTAGAAATGTTGACATACCTTGCTAGTGCTTATTAAATAGAGATTCCAGAGAGAGGAAATACAGTCTCCAAGTATAGGTAGATCAGGGGGTCACAAATTCTAGATCAACAGAATCACTAAGGAGCATCTGTCAGATAGCCTATGGATTGGCCTCTTTGTTTAAAATGTGCAACACTGGCTGGTGTGGTGGCTCACAGTGGTAAGCTCTTTGGGGAGGCAGGAGGATTGCTTGAGGCCAGGAGTTCAAAACTGGCCTGTGCAACAAAGCGAGACCCCATTTCTACCTAAATAAACAAATACAAATTTAGATGTGTGTGAATGGTACAGGCTTGTAGTCCCAGCTACTCAGAAGGTGGAGGCAGGAGGATCACTTGAGCCCAGGAGTCTGAGGCTTCAGTGAGCTATGGTGACATCACTGCACTCTAGCCAGGGTGACAGAACAAGAGCCTGTCTCAAAAAAAAAATAAATAAATAAATAAAAGGCACAATATTTCACACACAATGAAAACCATTCTATGAGTATTTCAGGAAAGCTGTCCAACCTCCAGTTTGGGAGATCTTTGGGATGTTTTGCTTTGATTTAAGATATCCCAGGAAGGTCTTTTACTTCACTGAAAAAGTTTTCAGACTGAAATGGTTGGAGGACTTAAAAGTAGGCTCCTGGGTCACCAAGCTCCAAGGACGAGTTGTGTGCTAATTCTTCCTGTTTCAGTATGTGCATAGATGATCCTCCCCACATTCTGGTTGCTGTTCCCTGAACTCCTGCCCTCCAATCATACTGTTATCCACCCTCCTTAGCCACTGACGCCCCTGACTTTACCCTAGAGTCATTAATAACTGCACCTGACCCAGTTATTCCCACTCTCCAGCAATACCACCTCCTATCCTTTCCCCTGAGTCCAATAATCTTTACACTCACCAGTCCTGCACTCCATTGCTCCTACCAGGTTTTCACTATCCCTCACTCTCTTCATGTCCTCACTTTCTTCTCCTGTAACTTAGATTCCAAGTTCAATCACTATTATTATCACTCTCTTGCATGCACCCTCAACATCTTTGTGTCTCTTTCACTTTCTTCTATTCACTTGGCTAAATCCAGCTCTCTACCAAACCCCATGCTTGCACCAGCCACTGAACTTGCTGCTGAACTTGCAAGAGAAAGTGGAGAGAACCACGTGATATACTAACCAATCTCACTGGTAAGTCATCAAAACAAGCCTCAAGAGGGTCCTTAATGTTGTCTGGAAATTATCTTACCTTCCTCAAGTCTGTTTACTCTGCTGAACTGGTGTTTCACACCTTCTCTCCTTTCAAGCTGCCATTGCCTCCTGGTGACCGCGCTTCCCATATCACTGAGAACATGGCCACAGTTGAAAGAGAATTTCAGGCTCTCGCCACCACATCCACCAGTTACCTTCTTCCAGACCCACAGATTCTGGCTTCTCCCCTGTTTTGTACTAGACCCCATCCCATCTCACCTCCCCAAGGGCCTTGCTCCAGGAACTCTTCCTTTTCTACAGCATCAGTTTCATCCTCCTAGCAGATCCTTCCTATCAGCAACTAACACTGTAATATTTTCCATTTAAAAACAGAACAAACTAAAACAAAACCTGCTGGATAAATATGATTGAGGAATTAGGGGTGGCTCATAAGACCATTATTTTATTGTATCACCCAATATTGTTGTATTAAAGACAGAAACAGGAGTTTGCAGGGCTTTGGCCTGAAGGAATATGTGAACTCAATCTTTCCCTTATCAGAGGCTGCTATCAAGGGAGGGCTCTCATGGCTCCAGTAGGGATGTTTTCCAGGAAGGCTTCCTGGTATCTCAGAATCTGTGAACCTCCCTGTTTCTTGAAAGGCAAGGCAGAATAAATATGGCCCACAGGATGGGAGCTGAGGACAATGAGTGCATTTTGCACATAGATGCTCCCTGTGGTTATAAACAACCTGTTTTGTAGAGATGGGCTTCCTGCTCTCTGCTGACTGTCTTCCTTAAGTCCACAATAACTAGATCAAAGAAATATAGGGTCCCTATACCTCTTTTGTTATAGCTTTGTTAATTGATAACTACCTCTTAAAATTTATGTTAGTCCCTCAAAGACTTTGTATTTGTTTGTTCACCTAGATTGATTAGAATTTGTTAGAAGGCCTTTGAGAGGACTTTTGACTCTAACCCACTACCTGTGTAATCTTGTTCCTATAGCAACTACATTCCCTGATATGTAAATGTGTCACTATGGCAACCGATAATTGATGTCTGTGATTATAAAAACCTATGTGAATCTAACCATATTGCTGGACGTTCACAGGGATATGTCCAGTCTCCTGAGTACCCCCACTGTAATTATTCTGATCTTTTTATATAAAACTATAAACTATACCTTAGTCTCTGTGTATTCTTTTATTCTCTCTATTTCCCATCAATTTTTTTATCCTCTGTGGCAACGCCTATCTAAGGGACCTAGCTTCATGGGGAGAAGCAGCTGATCTCCTCACAGCCCTGCCTCCCTGGAAAAACCTCTCTTGGCCCCTCTGCCCACTCCCACCCCTAATTCCCCCACCCCCTTAAGAGTAAATTCCTTGAAAGCTTGCAATTTCTTATCTCCCATTCTCTTTTGAACCCGCCCAGTGATTTTGCATCCTCAACCCCATTGAACCTGTCAAAGATCCCCACATTGCTAAGACCCATGGCCAACCAGTCCTCACCCGGCTGTCAGCAGCATGCAACACACAGGGTTACTCCTTTCATCCTGAAACTTGTTCTTCACTTGGCTTCTAGGACACTCTCCTGGCTTTTCTCCTGTCTCATTGGCTTTTCTTCTCAGTTCCTTTGCTGGTTCATTCTCATCAACACCCCTGCACCATCTCTGAACATTAGAAATTTCCAGGACTCAGTCCTTGGGTCTCTTTTAATCAAAGTGCATGGCTTTCATACCACAGGTATACCACTTACTGCCAGATTTATACCTCTAGTTCAGGCCACTTTGAACTCCAGAGATACATATCCAACTGCCTATTCAACATCTCCATTTGAACATCTAAATGGCATCTCAACATGTCCCAAACTAATCTCTCAGTGTTAGCCCTCAAAACTTGCTCTCCCTGGAGACTTCTCCATCCAAGTAAATGGCAGCTCCATTTTCCTAGTTGCCCAAAATCTTGGTGTCATCCTTGACTCCTCTCTTCCTCTCTACCCCATTTCCAACCCACCAGGAAATCCTTTTAAATTACTTTCAAAATATACTCAGAGTCTGACCCTTCTCACTACTTCCACTGCTACCACCCTGGAAAACGCCACCATCATTGCCCATCTGGATTATTGCAAAAGCCTTCTAATGCACTGCCAGCTTCTAACCGTATCCATTCAGTCTAATGTGATCCTTTAAAAATCTTCAATCATGTCACTTCTCTGCTCAAAACTTTCCAAATGGCTTCCCTTCTGCATAAGTTAGGGCAATGCTATCTCTGTAAGAGATAAACTAATATATCAATGGCATAAAATTACTAATAGAAGTTTTACGTCTCATAAGTCCAAAAATGGTGTTCCTGGTGAGTAGCTCTTTAACAGGAACCCAGGCTCCTTCTACCTTGTGGCTCTACCATCTTCAATACAGACCTTCCAGCTACAGGAAAGGAAAGAGCTTGGATAGTTGCACATGGCAGCTTTGCATGGCCAGTACTGGAGGTCATGTACATCCTTTCTGCCCTCCCTCCTTGGTCAGAGTTCAGTTATATGGCCACACTGCAAGGAAGACTGGGAAATGTAGTCTAGCTGGGTTCACAGGAAAAAGAAGAAACAGGTTGGCAAATAGCCAATCTCTTCCATACCCTCTCACTCATAGTAAAAGCTAAAGACCTTGCAATAACCTAAAGGCACTACAGAGTGTCACTCTCCCCCTCTCCATCCCTGCTGCCCTCTCTCTGACCTTATGTCCTCTACTCCCCTTGCTGCTGTACTCCAGCCACACTGGCTTCCGGTTGCTCCTCAGACACTGCAAACATACTCCCAGCTCAGAGCCTTGCCCTTGCTCTTCCCTTTTCGTGGAAAATTCTTCACCACTTTCAGGTTCCCTCATGAGTCACTCTGTCATGAGCCCTCCCTGGCCATCCTTTCTAAGATGGCAACACCATTCCTGACAGTCCCAACACTCCCTGTTCTCCTTCCCCACCTTAATTTTTCCCTTAGCACTTATCACCACCTCTCATTCTATATATTTTGCTTTTTAAAAAATCTTATTTATGGGCTGCCTCACCTACACTTACATACCAGAAAATAAGCACCATGACAGAGATTCATCTATTTTGTTCACTGTTGTATCCCTAGCACCTAGAACAGTGTCTTGCACACAGGAAACACTCCGGAGTGAATGCTCAGGAGTACCACATGAGCAGAGCTGGGATGCTTGGAGCAAAATATCAGCCTTTTGAAGCTGACACCATCATGCCTGCCACAAGCAGAGTCCTTCAATGCTTCTCTCAGAGACAGAATCCAGGGCTAGGTGGCCTTGGGTGTCACCCCTTAAGTCCTTTTCCTCCCCCAACTACCTTCTAATTCTGGGGCTCCCATGAGATCAAATCTGCTTTTCTCTCCTCAGAAAAGCTCATCTGTTCTCGTGACTCCATCAGCTGCCTCTCAGCGAAGGACCCATCTTTAAGTATCTCCTCCAGCCTCTGGCTCTTTTGTTTTAGATGTTCTGCCATCACCCAGATTATATCTTGAACTTAACTCATTTCCCTTATTCTATGGATCTAGTTCATTCTCCCAGTCTTGTCTAATTAAAACTCTTAATTTTTAAGTGGTCCCTCTTAATTTCTTTCATCCAAGTGGTCCCTAAAGCCAGGACTTGTTATTTCCACTTTTAAAAGCTCTCTTGTATATAAAGGTTCATTTTCATTCTCTTTCCCTTCTTAGGTTCATTTCCATTCCCTTGTCTATTGCCTCCTTATCCACAGGGAATCTCAGGGTTGGAGGGCCCCTGGCAAAGTCTTACTACCTGTTCAGCCTTCACTAGGACACTTCCAGGATGGGTGGCTCTGACATTAGGCTGCAGTTCCTTGAGGGCAGGATGATGTCCTATTTATCTTTGGGTTCACTAGCACCTAGCATTGTGCCTGAATTCAAAGAGGTATTTTTAAAATGGTTTTTGAAATAATACCTCCTGAGGCAACCTGTTCTATTGTTAATCCCTGTTAGAAGATGAAAGAGCCACTTTCAATTTTATTCCACCCCCAACATGGCCGAAAGAAAGACCCACAATTCCCACTGCTTTTAGCTCAGTCTCCTCATATTGACAAGACCTTCCACCACCTACCCAAACTTACCATCCATACTTTCCCTTCATGGTTCCCTATCCCCTACCTGGCCTGAGAATTTACCTCTCACTCTGTCTCCCACTTCTCCTTGTTCCTGTTACTCTTCTTGCTGAATAGTCCATTTGGAACTTCCTTAGTCCAGCCTGAGTCACATCTTCCTATGAAGCCTCCTCTGGCTACCACCAAGGGCCACTGACACTCCTTTGTTTGAAGGCCGGAAGCACTAGTTGGAAAGCTTTCATCTTGATAGTAAACTCATTTTTTGTATTTAACTCTTTCATGAGCTTATTGTTAATACTTGCCTCACCTGGATTTTAAACTATAGAGGCTTTATGTGCTTAAAACTCAGTAGATTTATATTTCATTTGTGCTGAAACTATAATAGCCTTTAATACTTGTTTTAACTTCATGACAGAAAAGTGAATAAATGGATGATTTCCTGTGTTCCTCTTAAACCAGGGGCATGCAATGGGTTCCACCCATTCAGTGCTCGTAACATTATTGAGCATTTACTTTGACCTGGGCAATACACATAGAGCTGCAGATTTAAAGATGAAGAGGTAGATCTCTTCCCGGGAACTTAGTCTAAGAGCAGATGGCTAAGTAGCGTTTTATAGCAAAATGTGGCAAACTGTGTAGAAGCTAAAACTGTAAAGGCAAGCGAGGGAACAATTATACTTAGTGGGGTCAGGAAAAGCTTCTATTGCTAACATCAAGACCCAGAGTTCTACTGGTCTTCACAAGACTGAGAATCAGGAAAGCCACTCATTCACAGCAGAGGAAGCTGCTTCATGAAAAAAAGAGATGTGAAAGGACAGGCTGTCGAGGAACAGAAATGGTGGTGGCCAGACCGCAAGATATGTGAGTGGCATGTTGGGAGATGAAGCTGAAAGATACACTGGCGCCAAAGAGTGAAGAGCTTCCCGTAGATAGCACACCAGGGCAGCAGCGCTGAAGGGAAGGGAGGATTGAGAGTATTCAATACAGTTGGTGACTAATACAATCGGATCAGTTCTGCCGTGAGGGCTTGTGGGCATGAAGATAACTAGCAGGTTAAGACAAGAAGCCCTGTGGAGGCAGTCATGCGCTGTGAATGGGACGTGGCGGCCACACGGCCGCGCCCACACGCCAGCCCAAAGTAGGAGGCTAGGGCCCGCCATCCCCACAGGCCCCGGGACCAGAGTTGGGCGGGAATCCGGTCCACGCAACTCGGCGCGCTCGCGGGGACGTGGCGATTTCCAGCCAATCCCGGCTACGCGATTGTGGGACCAATGGCTGCCCGGGGAAGCTCCGCCGCAGCGGCGGGTTTGCTGATGACTGGTCGAGAGGTCGCCGGCGAGGCGGATGGGAGCGGGGCTAGGGTTCGCTTCCGGTTGGGCGGTGCTTGCGCGCGTGAGCAGAGCTGGTGGGTGAACGGCGGCCAAGGCAGGCTGGGCAGCGGGGGCTACGAGGAAAGGTAAGTACGGCGGTGTCCACCCCCTACGCTGCCGCTACATTTGCTTTCTTTCTGTCCCCGGGCTTTGCTTTCGGCACGGCAGGAGCCTACCTCACTCGCGGCCCGAGTCTGCCGGCACCGGGGTCTCAGGCCTGAGCCTGCTCGAGATCCCAGGGCCCTCAGAGCGCAGCCAGGGATGGAGCCCGCCGCTCGCCTTCCCGTGCGCTCCGGGAAGGGGGCTGGGTCCCCTCAATCTTTGGCTCCCGGCTCTGCGTCCTGTTGGGTCCTGTTTTGCTCTTCGTCCCTGGGCTTCGCCACTCCGAGTCCGTGGGACTGAATGGTCACTTTTTGCATCCTGAAGGTCGGAGGGCAGTTAGGTAGTGTTACTGTAACAACCTCCTGCCACCTCCCATTCACCAGCCAGCTTCCTATCTGCCAGCCCCGCCCCAAGGCCACATCCAGACAGTACGGTGCATCTGCCGAGAAAGTCATGTTCACTGCATTAAAGGATGTAGAAATAAGGGGGGAAAGAACGAATGAAGACACTATGTGAGATCTGTAATTTTTAAAGGTGCATGTTTCGAGCTTCCATACTTGGCTACATACTTGAGTCAGCGACTGAAAGTAGTTTTAAAAGCTTTATTAGGGGATTAGTTGCTTGTTTACTTTGTTTGTGGCTTCTAGCCCCAAATCCTAGTTCTGATTTTTGACATGCAGCGTTCAGAAGTAAACTTAGGTCCCCACAGCTGCCGTGATTAAGAGTATAGTAGAGTGGCTTGCAGTTTTGAAACCTGCTTTTGCATCAAGGCAAAAGCTCCCTGGGTCTCCTAATAAAACTTTTGGACCTTTGACCTAAATTCATGACTATGAAGTCCAAGAATAGTGTCTTTTAAATTGAATTGCATTCATTTCCTGGCATGGGCCTTAAAGTCAACGTTAATGAATTGAGAATAAGGTCACTTCTAGTAGTTCTAGTAGCTTATTCAACTTGGAGATAGAGAACCTTAGAATCTCTGATAAATTATTTTTTTTTGCCATAGAATGGAATTTGACAGAAGACAAATGCATGTTTGGTTAATTTGGAAGACAAATGCATATTTGGTTAACTAAATCTACTCATCGAGTAGATTTAGTTAACCAAATACCAAAACAATAGTTATCACTGAAGAATTTATGTGGTATTGCCCAAATGAGGGACCAGAGATAACCTATGTATTGTCTTTGTGTGTCAAGAGGATGGGTTTGCCAAGGCCTAATCTGAGGTTTTACAATGATTCAGGGATTTCCAATGGGGTTCTTTTGAGAATCACAACTAGGAGAACCATGAGCTCACAAAAATATACTGAGTATGCCTGAGTGGATGGTACTCGATATAGCTTTGAAATCAAGTCACTAGCACTCTCAATATAATCATTGTTCACTTCCATTCATCCAGTGATGTATCAAGAGTTACTTACTGATAGCACCAGTATACGTTGCACCAGTATAGGAGATCACTGCTTTGGTGTTAACATGGACTTTCTGTAACATGGATGTGCCAAGGTTGTTGGAAGGACAGAGGTAGCCAGGGATAGCCATTGGAAATGCTTGCAAGGCCATAAGGGCCTAGATCCTCTCCCTATGAACTCTTAAATATGGATGTTGTTGATGGTGTAATTTAAGTATTAGAGTTAAGACAGCTGAAATAACACTTTGCCTGTTGCTAGCTGATAGCCAGATCCGGTAAGGGGAATTGGGGATTGTAAGCACAAGCAGACAGGAACCACAAAATTGCTGCCAAGGACCACCCAATTAATCAAGTAAAATATATTGGTATCTAGAAAGTATAAGACAGTGTATTGGAGACTATAGAGAGACAATAATTTATATTAGCTAAGATGTAAGCATTCTTCCAGAAATATAGAATCTATAGGAGAGCTAAGAATAACAACTTAAAGTAGCCTATGATCATTATTGAGTAGTACAAGTTTTATAAAAGTTTAGAGGAATAGGTATAGATCACTTCCAGCTAGAGTGATCATAGTAGATAGGTCTTTTAGTCTAGGATCTTAATATTATTTATAGACATTTTACACTGAAGGAAGATTGAGCTAAAATAACTACCAAGTTCTCAAGGGCTTCATGGATGTTACACATGCATGGCAAAATTACAACTAGAAACCAAAACTCTTATCTCTGCATTTTGCATAACATTCCTCTGACAATTGTGTATTAAAGTTTCATCAACCAAAAAGAAACTTTTTTTCTCCCAGAATTTCTGGAACTTTTTTTTTTTACAAAAAAGTTTTTGATTTTATAGCCAAAAAATGTAAAATTTGTACTGGGTTGCTTTGGTTGTAGAACTAATGAAGTAGTAGTTTCAGTCTTAGAGCTTTTCTTCTATAGCCAGATTTTGCATTTGGGATATACTCAGCTGACTTGTAAATGTATTCCCTGTATCACACAAATAATTTATTTAGAATGTATTAATGAACTAATGTAAATTTGTTCCATCAGTAGAGAAACATTAAATAAATGGTTTGTCAGTATCATAACTTTTCTCAAAGCATGAAGAATATAACATTACTTTTATGTGATAGTCCATTGGTGGTATTTGTACCGAAGTCTGTGAGTGAAGAATATCAAGTAGATAAGCAGATAACTTTCACTTCTAGATGTCATAGCCTGGGCCTTAGTATTTAAATTGCTATCAGTTTTTTCACCCCATTCCCCAACTGAAATAGACACTTAAGCAGTGAGATCCTGCTTTTACTGCATTATGGAGAAATGCCTTTTCTGCTGAATATCCATCCAGCTCAGAGAACTGGAATTTTACCACTACACCCATTTCTTCCACTTACTAACATTGAGCAATGGGTCTTTTTGGTCAACCAGAATAACTGTGGGATCACTCAGTGTTAACATTCTTGAAAAGTTGGATTTAATCCAAACATCTGAATTTCTCTAAAACAATTTAAGTGTTCTGTGACTAGTGGATTTTTACCAAAAATGAGGTTTGGGGGAAGAAGGGTAGTGGTGGTAAAAATTTAGAGCTTTCAAGGAAATTTTTGCGTGGTTGAAATAAACTGACTCCTAAGACTCACAATTGTTATTAAAATCAAACTTACTTAATCTTTTCTCCTTATAAATTACTGGAACAATTTATGGAAATAACTTTGCAGAAGATTGGTGACATACTACAGAAGGATGATAGCTACTTGGTTTTTTTGTTGTTATAGTCCTTTGGTTTCTGTATCTAACATAGTGCTGTCCAATAAAATATAGAATACAAGCCACATGTGGAATTATTTTTAAATTTTCAGGTGAAAATCTAGAACAGGTGAAATTAATTTTAATATACTTTATTTAATCTAATACATAGGACAAAATACTATTTTTCAATATAAAATGTAACACATACCAATCTTAATTCATACTAGTCACATTTGAAGTACTTAGTAGTCACATGTGGCTAGTGGCTGCTGTGCAGTGCAGGTCTAGACTTTTCTTTTTTTCCTGGAGACAGAGTCTCTCAATCTGTCACCCCAGCTGGAGTACAGTGGCATCATCATAGCTCATGGCAATCTCTAACTCCCAGGCTCAAGTGATCCTCCTACCTTGGCCTCCCAAGTACCTAGGATTATAGGTGAGGACCACTGGCCCTGGCTAACCTTTTTCTATTTTTAGTAGAGATGGGGGTCTCCCTCTTGCTCAGGCTGGTCTCAAACTCCTGACCTCAAGCACCTTGGCCTCCCAGAATGCTAGGATTACAGGTGTGAGCCACCATGCCAAGCCTGGACTTTTTTTTTTAAAGAAAAAATATTAGCTGTTACTCTTGGGGAGGAACAGAATTTGAGAGAGAGAAAATATATAGATCATTTGAGAAATGGGGATAGGAAGGTGCATTTTTCACAACCATTGGTTTACCTTCTAGATCACATGGAAAAGCTCTTATAATTTATATCCTTAATTTATATCGTATTTTTAAAAATATGTTATCCATTGTTGTGTAGCTCGTTGAAGGGGGTGAGGAAATGAGAAGCGTCATTAGCTTTCTGTCATTTGGTTGAAAAGAGAAAGATGTTTCAGAAATGAACTGCCCTAATGTAGTTCTTCAAAAATCTTGTATGAAAAGTTATTTTGTACTGTTTCTTTTCACATCTTACCCCCTAAAATTTCCTTTGTCTTAGGAGGATAGCCTTTGTTTCTACTTGAACATTTTTATATAATATATGAATTTGAATAAATCTAGTAAGTCAGTTTTTGGTACAGTTTTTTTGTTTTGTTTTTAGTTTCTATATTCATAAAAGAAGCAGCCTTTTATTAAAGTTTCTAATAACCAGGAGTTGGTGTGTGTGGGCACGAAGTATATTTTTTTAAGTAGAAATTGTTTTTAAAGTGCAGATTTTTCATTATCACCTGCAAAGAGGTGAAGATGACTAGGTAGGACCATTGGCTTTGTCCAGCATGTGGTCCTTGATGACTCTTTTAGGCAGTTTCATCAATGGTAAGATAGAAAGGCAGATTTCAGGGGAACAACAGATGGTGAGGCAGCCGTGTAGACAACTGTGTGGGTGAAGGAAAGGAAAAAGCAAGCTTGAAGGAATAGCAGAGTCTGGGAAAGACTGACTGGAGGTTGTGGAGACCTGAGAAGTATTGACTGACAGAATGGAGATGCCCATCAAGGGGTGGGGTTGGAGTTTAATTGAGAGAAGGAAGGAAAGAGAATGGATAACGAGAAAGCCAAATCACCTGGCCTTTACTCTTTGGCATACTTGTTTCCTTTTAACAAGATGTTAAGCCTCAAACATAAATGTAGTTTTCCCTCTAAATGGCAAAGTGAATCAATCTGTTACGTTTCTATGCTACATGTTTCAAAGCTTTGCACAGTATCCTTTCCAGGCCCTGATAGTGGTATGGGACTTAAGCATATTGTTATATTTGGAGTTTACAAGAGTTGTTAGGGTATTATGCTGTATTTTATCTGAGGATATAATCATTCATAAAATTTTTCCAAATGTAAAGTTCCCTTAGTCATAAGGAAAGTCTTTTGTCACAGTGACTCTTGATTTTACTTGATTCTGTATGCCTCTAACATAGATATGGTTTGGATGCATCACAAAACATCAACAACATACAATCCTGTTCCTTCCTTGTTTCTACATTTTTATTTACCTAAAGAATTATTTGGTTGTATTGTAGTTTGAGATAGAAGGTCATTTTGCCCTAAAATAAAGGTATACTCATTTTGATGTTGTATTTAAGAGAGCTAGTAAATCTCCAATTTTCTCTTTACTCTTTAACTGATTTGATCAATCCATTCAATTATTGGAAGGTCAGCTGGAGTGTTATTTGCCTAGAGCAATGTATTACAAGTAAGATACACAAAAATCTAATGCGCCTGAGAGTAAGCCATTTACAAAAATTAGACAACACAGCAGAGTACGGTACTAAAGTTCACTTCCACACTAGCCTCTCCACCCCATTCTACCTGTCTCTTCTCCTCTGAACCTAAATGTTACCACTGTTTACACATGAGTGTAACTTCCATGCTATTTTTGTGCATGTGTTATATTTTATACACTTACAAACAACTTGAGGAGATCGTTTAATTTTGCTTTGTTTTTTGCATAAATGAGATCTTGGCATTGTTTTGCAGCTTGCTTTTTTTGTTCATTTAATATGTCTTGATGAGTTCTCTGTTTCACTGCAGATAGATCCACCTCATTCTTTTTAACCTCTGTGTACTTTTCCATAATATAGATTTAATATAATTTACCAGTTCTCTGGTTTAATTTTTCAATTTTTTAATCATTATAAACTATTATCGTTGAATATCTTAATACAAGTATCTTTGTATACAAATTTGAGTATTTGAATGGGATTGAATGAAATAGAATGTTGAGGACTTGTCAGAAACAAAGCTAAGTTCTAACATTGGTGAGAGCAGCTGAAGAAAAGTACCACTTCCTATACCTTTCTCTGTGGGTCTTGTGGTTTTGCTTCCTCTGATGGGTTTTCTCAAGTCTTAATAAGTCTTAATAACTATCGCATCATCAGTAACAGTAACTTTTTTGAGAATGAGCACTTGGGGAGTGAACACCTTCCATTATCTCCTTGGGCTGCAGAGCTCTGCCATCGCCATCCCACCCCCCACCATGGAAAGAAAGATTGTCTTCCATGAAACTTGAGGGGTGGGGATGCTGGTGAAGCTTCATCTGTATTTACAGCCGCTTCCCGTCACTGGCATCACCATCTGAGCTCCACCTCCCCACCCCATCCTGTGAAACTGTTCCCTGGTGCCAAAAAGGTTGGAGACCACTGTTTTAGAACACTTTCTACTGTCCATCCATGTGCCCTCCCCCACTGAGCTGCTTTCCCAGTGTTTGCACACAGTGCCCTTGTGTGCCCTTTCAAAATTTGAAAGTTGTTCATGGAGACCTCAGCTGTGCCTTTGTGTAATCAGCTTTCTAGGTTGTGTTGGGATTCCTCTATTTACTTTCCTTTTACTTTTAAGGATCTTTATATAACATGCTCACCATTAACTTGAGCTAAGTATTCTTTTAGTTTATTGAATCCAAAGGGTGCTACAAATCTACACTAATACAACATAACTTCATTTAGCTACTATTTGAGGGTTATAAGAAAAATGGATGCATTGAAATATGTGTAATGTATTGGCATGTTTAATTTCCTCATCCTTTGCACAATTCACTCCATTCTAGTTCCCAAAACTCTTGAGGCAGGATCAGGTAGATGCAGTTTATTCATACTAAGTACCCTCTCAGGTCAGATTTCTTAAAATATTACTATGGCTGTTGAGAGTTTGGTTAGAATAGTGGTTCTTAACCTGGCTGTACTTAGGGAGCCTTTTAAAAAAATAGGGTGCATCCCAAGACATTCCTATTTAATTGGTTAGGGTAAGGTTTAGTACTCTTATTTTCTAAAAATTCCCTGGGTGATTTTAGGGTACAGTCTGGATTGAGAACCACTGAGTTTGAAGCTATGCTGAAAGAATTTTCTTTATTTGTAAGATTTACATATAAAATGTAAGTGTTTAGCTAGTTCCATTAGTGACATCCTGCAGAAGGTGAAGTCTGGCTGGTTTAATCTGCACATTAGGACAAGGTAATGCATTTAACTTTCATGTGACACAGTGTCCCTCTGTTCTATAGCCTTGTATTAGTTTTCTAGGGCTGGTGTAAGAAATTGCTATAAACTGGGTGGTTTAGAAGAATAAAAATGTGTTCTCTCTCAGTTCTGGAGGCTAAAAGTTCAAAATATATGTGTCAGCAGGGCCATGCTCTCTGAAGGTTCTAGGGAAGGACTCTTCCTTGACTCTTCCTAGGTTCTGGTGATGTCAGCAATCCTTGGCATTCCCTGATGTGTAGAGGCATCTCTTCAGTCGACCACTTTCATAACATGGCATTTTCTTCTGTGTGTCTGTGTCCAAATTTCTCTCTTTTTATAAGGACAGCAATCATTGGATTTTTATGATCCACCCTAATCCATTTTGAGCTCACTTTAACTTGATTGCATCTGCGGAGATCCTATTTCCAGATAAGGTTACATTCACAGGTGCTACGGATTAGGCATAAAGGGAGATGAGTAGGAGATAATATGAAATTGCAAAAACTTATTTTACCTGAAGAGGGAAAAGCATTCAGAATTCCCTGTTCTACCGGTGAAAGATTAATTAAAATGTGAAAGCTTGGGAAAACCATTCCTCTTGATTTTTAATTTTAGTTTTCTCTAAGACTTTAACCTCTGTGGATAGTACTGTGGGATGTCTATACTAAACAGATTTCTATCCTGCAGCTTCTCTGCAGGGTTTTTATTTTTGGTTTTGGTCACATTTTTCAATAAAGTGTGCCAGCCCTGTGCTTGTTGATTAAATCACTTGTGACTGCAGCTATTCTAAAGATCTAGAGTAGGGTGTTGGAATTTGTACTTTGAACAGTACTCCAGGTGGTTCTTTATGCCCAGACAAGTTTGGGAAATACAACTTTACATAAGAATGAAGAAATTGGCTGGGTGGGGGCTCTCACCTGTAATCCCAGCACTCTGGGAGGCCAAGTGGGAGGATCGCTCAAGGTCAGGAGTTTGTGACCAGCCTGAGCAAGAGCGAGACCCCAGTCTTACTAAAAATAGAAATAAATTAATTGACCAACTAAAATATATATATACAAAAAATTAGCCTGGCATGGTGGCTCATGCCTATAGTCCCAGCTACTCAGGAGGCTGAGACAGTAGGATCTCTTGACCCCAACAGATTGAGGTTGCTGTGAGCTAGGCTGATGCCAGGGCACTCTAGCCTGGGCAACAAAATGAGACTCTGTCTCAAAAAAAAAAAAAAAAAATGAAGAAATTGTTGTTTATGACCATCTGAATGGTTTGGTCTTTGAAGGGGATTTAAGGTAGATCCAGGACATGGGAAACTTGGTGCTATCAACCAAGGAAACTGCTGAGTATTTCACTGGTTCCTAAATGCCTGAGAAGCATTTAATGCTGCAGATGTCTGGATTCCGCTTCAGAGATTCTACAATATGGCAGACTTAAAGCTTCCCAGGTGATTCTAATAACCAGCCACATTTGAAGACCAGACCACTGATATACAAAAAATAAAGGGTTTGGAGTCAGGATTTCAATCTTAGTCCTTCACTTTTAATGCTTATGATCTTGAGCAGAAAGATTAAAGTTCTTCCGTATCTTTTCAAGGTAGACAATTATAAAGTAGACATTTTAACTATAAATTTCTTATCAGCCTACAATAAGATGAAGGAAACTAGTGAAAATTTCTCACCATAATTGGAAAGTCTGATGTTCCACCATATTTATTTTATGGATTAAGTAATAGTATTTGAGATAAACATATCAAATCAGTAATTTAACTGGGATGTGAGCTTTTGATTTCTTGTTTAATTATTAAGTATACTGCCTCCTGAATTACTTTTCATTTTCTTTAAGATCTGATTGTCATGGACCTGCGACAGTTTCTTATGTGCCTGTCCCTGTGCACAGCCTTTGCCTTGAGCAAGCCCACAGAAAAGAAGGACCGTGTACATCATGAGCCTCAGCTCAGTGACAAGGTTCACAACGATGCTCAGAGTTTTGATTATGACCATGATGCCTTCTTGGGTGCTGAAGAAGCAAAGACCTTTGATCAGCTGACACCGGAAGAGAGCAAGGAAAGGCTTGGGTAAGATGCCAGCTCTCAGGGGGCTAGTTAGGGTAATGACATTCTTTATAAATCAGTGAATGCTTTGCTTTTCTGGCTCAGTCACCAGAAAAGCTATGTTCAACTACATCTTCTGAAAGCTAACCATGGAATTGCTACCACTAAAATTTAATTAAGTACCTGCTTTCATACATTTTTCCATTGAATAACAGTTTGTACCTCATTCTACAAAGCAAAATCATTTTTGCATAAAAAGACCAAATACTATAGGACCCAGCTTGAACTGCATCATCTTAATCCTAGAAGAACATCACATGGGGTGCATCTTTTCTTTGCTGCTTTTAATTTTTAAAAACTATTCATGACCTGTTTATTCATTGTTGCCCAAGCCAACTCTTTGAGTGGCTAATAAACTGCAAATTGGCCCATGGATTATTTTTTATAAAGTTTATGATTTCCAAAGGTGTCCTTCACCCTCTTTGTTTTCATGCTTAGGTATTTGCTTAATTAAAAACCAAAAACCAAAACAACCAACCTTAGCTAAAATAGGGGATTGTAACAGTTATGGTCTTTATGTCAGAGTGTGAATTTCAGTGACAGCTGGGCCATAGTCAGGTTCTATGACTCATCAGACAGCTTTTTACCTAAAGAATTGATTTTGTAGCATCTCAGTTGATTATCTCTAACTGGGGGTCTGAGAATGTCTTTTTTTTCGCTCTTCCAAAGCCTCACTTTATAAGAAAATGCAAATCAGTTTTATGAAAATTTTCTCAAGGAGCACCATTGGTACAGTTTTCTGAATTGTTTTCAAGACATTTGTATAGAAAGTCTTACCACACATAGCAATCTCCAAAACTATTTTGCCATCATGGATAGGGCTTTGATTATAAAACATTATTATAGGATTTGCTTTGGAAGATACTTCAGAATAAATTTATTCTTTCATTGAGTTATCTGCTGACTGAAGAGTACAATATTTTATTCTTCAGCATTGGCAGAAGTAATCAAAAGATTTTGCTATATAGAATGAGTACTGTGCCCAAACGTTTGAAAGTAGATATAGAAAACACATATCAAAAAGTCTGTCTTCTATTAGGTTGCTTTTCTAACTTTGAAAGACCATCCTTACTTTCCATTTTAATCTTATAACTGTACTAACATTCCAGGCTGAAAATAAAGATGCATGAGAGTGTTCTCAGTCTTCATGTCATGTCTGTTAATAATACTGTGCGTGTCCAACCTACGTTTTGGTCTGCACGTATTTCTGTGCAGAATTACTCTTAAATAATGAAGGGCACTCAGGGCTGGTATAATTTAGGGTACATGGTACTTTAATGAGGGTGTTCTTGCTCTTGCAGGTAGTGTAGCTCTGCTGGGAGGTTTCAGTAGAAAGTATTCCTTTTTGTCATCAGTAAATATTATCAAAAGTATAGCACATAAGCAGATTTTGTATTTGAATAGAATAAGGTGATAAAATTATTTTTCATGGACTGTATGAATGAACTAAGTACTGTTTGCTTCTCCTAAATGTTGAAGATAGTGACAAATATCCCTAATTTATACAGTACCATACTGTTGAAAGCAAGAATCCCAGGTGAACTTTTTTCTTTTTTAATTTATTTACTGTGGCATTTCTAAACATTGTTTTGGTAGGTGACTGTACACTAGAGGTTGGGAAAAACAGATTCCCCCTTTTCCATCTATCTATAAGGCAAGTACTTATTAAGGTATAAGTCATTGTTTATACCTGCAGTTGCAAAGATTCACTACTATTTTTGAAATCCTTACTAATATCTCAAAGAACACAGGAAGCATTTTAAAACAATTTTAATATACAATTTTCAGTTTCTTTTTCTTATTAAGAATGTTGACAAATAGAACATTTTTTATGTGTGTATTATCCCCTCCCCCATAAAAATATACTTAGTTTTCATTTATGTCCTTCAACTAACGGTTTGTTTTATGATGGTGGTTCTTAGTGTTAAGAAGTTCTCATCCTTGATTTATTTGCTATAGAAATAAACAAAGCAGCTTATTATCCATTTTGGGTATCACAGGCCCAAACCCTGTGGGAGTCTAATGAAAGCTAAGGACTTTTCCTCAGAAAGTACACACATATGAACATATATAATATTTTCCATGCTAGAAATTTCAGAAATATTATGTATCTTTCTAGAGTCCAATTATTGACCCACATTCTTAAAAAACTGAAGGGTTTGCTTTGTGCCCCTTGAAATGTAGAGGCTTGCGTTACCTCTCTTGAGAAACAATACGAGGTCTGCTAAGTGCATTGTGTCTGTCCAAAAATAAATGCATATTTAGTGGCATAATAACTATATCCACAGGGCTCTCCAATGTTATAAAAATACTACATACACCATTAGCTTTATAAATTTACACATTCTTTTAAACATCATAGTTTAGAGCTTCATGCCAAAGTAGATCGTGCCCACTTCCAGTGTACTTTCACAACTACAACTGCCTGCAGGCTGGAGAGTCAGTGAGATATCAGACTTGTGGGGGTAAGGGGGGAAAGGGCATTTATTGAAACCTTAAAATCTGTACCCCCATAATATGCCCAAATAAAAAAAAAAAAAAGAATGGCGTTTGTCCAGGCATGGTGGCTCACACCTGTAGTCTTAGCACTTTGGGAGATCGAGGCAGAAAGATCGCTTGAGGCCAGGAGGTTGAGACCAGCCTGAGCAACACAGTAAGACCCTGTCTCTACAAAAGAATTAAAAATTATCTGGACTTGATGGCATGCACCTCTAGTCCCAGCTACTCAAGAGACGGAGGCAGGAGGATCACTTAAGCCCAGGAGTATAGCTTCTACATTTTTAGACAGCTATTTATATGTATATACACACACATATATATGCCTACGTGTGTATATATATGGACGACAGACCATATGTGTCTCACAGAGTCAAAAATATTTACTATCTGTCCCTTTTCAAAAAAAGTTTGCCGACCCCTAGATTAAAGCATTTTGGATATTTCTGTCAAATAGAATGCTGTTCAGCTAACTTCATTAAGAAAAGCCTGTCTTGAACAGTCATATGCCTTTTTTATCTGGGTAATCCCTTTCTTCAGGCTATTTATAATAGTTTAAAAATATCTTTTGGGGATGGGAAGGATTCTGATACCTTGCCCTTTTTTTCTTAACCATACAGTGGCACTATTGGTAGCCAATACCATCTGGGCACAAACTAGATCGCATTATAAATAATGCAGAAGTTTTTAATACTGGAATAATGTAATCTATTAATATTGTCAAAATTCTACAGAGTTAAAGTTACAGCAAAAAATTTGTCTTTGGCCAGGCTTGGTGGCTCATGGCTGTAATCCTAGCAGTCTGAAAGGCTGAGGCAGGAGGATCCCTTGAGCTCAGTAGTTCGAGACCAGCCTGAGCAAGAGGGAGACCCCGTCTCTATTAAAAATAGAAAAAATTAACCTGATGTGGTGGTCCACACCTGTAGTTCCAGCTACTTGGGAGGCTGAGGCAGGAGGATCGCTTGAGTCCAGGAGTTTTAGGTTGCTCTGAGCTAGGCTGATGCCACGACATACTCACCCAGACAACAGAGTGAGACTCGGTCTCAAAATATATATATATATTTGTACCTGTGTCTATGTAGGTAGACGTGGATATTAAGAGAACATATTACTGCTTTACCTTTTCTGTTAATATTTTAGAGCAAAAGCTACAAGATCACACATTCTCTGAAGGAAAATGTAATTATAGGACTTAAGTAATAGTTATGGCTAACACTATATCAATATCAAGATGGTCTCTTTTCGTAGTGTCACTAGTATGATTCTAATTACTTTGATTCTAATTACTTCCCATGTTGTATTCATGAAGTAAACACAAACTGGGAAAAGACATTATTTGCTACCAAGTGACAGTCTTTTTCAATCCTGCAAATAATAGAACAGGAATATTTGAAGATTTCACTTCTATTGAAAGTTTTTATTAAAAGTTCCTATTCCAAACTGGGCTGCTTACTTGTATGATTTTGCATAGGCTGACTTAGCCCCTGTATAGGTGATTGCTTGCTTGCTTATTTAGTTGTTTGTTTGTTTATTTATTTATTTATTTTTTGAGGCAGAGTCTCACTTTGTTGCCCAGGCTAGAGTGAATGCCATGGCGTCCTAGCTCACAGCAACCTCAATCTCCTGGCCTCAAGCGATCCTACTGCCTCAGTCTCCCGAGTAGCTGGGACTACAGGCATGTGCCACCATGCCCGGCTAATTTTTTTGTATATATTTTTAGTTTGTCAATTAATTTGTTTCTATTTTTAGTAGAGACAGCGTCTCTCTCTTGCTCAGGCTGGTTTTGAACTCCTGCCCTCGAGCGATCCGCCCGCCTCAGCCTCCCAGAGTGCTAGGATTACAGGCATGAGCCACCGTACCTGGCTGTGATTGCATCTTTAAATAGGAGCTTTCATATCATATTATTAAATCCTTAAATTAAGATGACAGATCTGGAAGAGACATCCATAAAGGGAGAAGTTATTGATTCTTTATCTTTGTTGTTTTGCTTTATAATCTACACACTAACCCTCTCAGCTTATTAACATTTTCATAATCTGATATATACATTCTTGCATCATTTCCTCAGAGTTCTCTGTTTTTATGATTATATGTAAAAATCCAATGCAACATAGTATATAAAATCTGCTAGGCATTTTTTAGATAAGCATACTCTTTTAAATAATCTTGCCTTGAGATATAAGTGATCCCAGAACTATCATTGTTATCTTTATATTCTAACAAGTGTTACTTTTTAAAAAGCAGCTAAATTTTTTAAAGTGTGATTTAAATATTTTGAATTTTTAGAAGAAGTCAGTAGTTGTGATTATTTTCCAAGAAATGGAGATTCTCTTCTAAAAGCAATAAACATATAAAGATTTACATGTTTTTTGATGCAAAGAGTGAAGAACCCAGATAGGAATGGCTATTCACTCGAATTCTAACCATAGGCTGAAAACTACCTCTAAAGTGATAGGCTGGGTTTGCTTTCAGATCCAAGGGCACCAGCCATGGACTGTGTTTACCTTATTCAGCTGGCTCACTATAGACCAGTAATGGACCACTTAGTAGAAAAATTTTCAATTGCCACTCTGGCAATGTTTTAGAGATAATTTTTTATTTCTGTGCATTAGCCCTGGGCAACACCTATGGTCACAGCACACACCTGGCTAAGTCCAGAGCTTTGTGTCTTTTTAACCTCTTGCTGGATTTCTCTGCATTTTCTACAGAAAGATTGTAAGTAAAATAGATGGCGACAAGGACGGGTTTGTCACTGTGGATGAGCTCAAAGACTGGATTAAATTTGCACAAAAGCGCTGGATTTACGAGGATGTAGAGCAACAGTGGAAGGGGCATGACCTCAATGAGGACGGCCTCGTTTCCTGGGAGGAGTATAAAAATGCCACCTACGGCTACGTTTTAGGTAGGTCCCTACTACCTGGGGGAAAAAGCCTTATGGAGCTGGCACCTTGAAACATAACTGTTTTGTTTTGTAGAATGATTGTAGATAAAGTAGACACGGATAAAGATGGGTTTGTGATGGAGGGGGAGCTGAAATCCTGGATTAAGCATGCCCAGAAGAAATACATATATGACAATGTTGAAAACCAGTGGCAGGAGCTTGATGTGAATCAAGATGGCTTAATCTCCTAGGATGAGTACAGAATCGGGAGTTATGGCATTCACCTGGGTAAGGGGCAAAATGTCAGCCCGACAGGACCATGGTCTTGAGTCAAAGAAACAAATGGGTCACACAGTAAGGGAAAGGAAGACATTGTGCTCATATTACATAGTCAATGCTGAGCTGATTTCCCTTGTTCTGTTCATTTTAAATTTGTATATTATGTGTTTTTTAATTTGTTTAATTTTGGCTTTCTGAAGGCTGGCATCTTAACATCTTTAGCATTTCAAATGTATTTTGCCATTTTTTCTTTCTGTCATCCCTTATAGAGATAATTTTTGGAATAGATTCATTTAAAAGGCTGCAGTTTTTCCAACAATGCAAAGTAAGAGGCTTTGAGATGTCTCTTTTTTTAATATATATATCATTTTATTTATTTATTTATTTAGAGACAGAGTCTCGCTTTGTTGCCCAGGCTAGAGTGAGCGCCATGGCGTCAGCCTAGCTCACAGCAACCTCAAACTCCTGGGCTTAAGCAATCCTCCTGCCTCAGCCTCCCGAGTAGCTGGGACTATAGGCATGTGCCACCATGCCCGGCTAATTTTTTCTATATATATATTAGTTGGCCAATTAATTTCTATTAGTAGAGATGGGGTCTCGCTCTTGCTCAGGCTGGTTTCGAACTCCTGATCTCGAGCTATCCGCCGGCCTCGGCCTCCCAGAGTGCTAGGATTACAGGCGTGAGCCACCGCGCCCAGCTGAGATGTCTCTTGATGTGGTCCCATTAAAGTGTTGGACCTAAAATACAAATCAAATTAGATTTCTTTATAACTAGTGAAAATAGGAGGAAAATTACTGTCTTTCCTTAATAAAACAAAATTAAAATAAAATAGCTTTCCTTGATAAAATTTAACTATTTCATCATGTCTGCTTACTGAAGAAATGAAAATTCCAATTTGAGCTGGGTACAGTGGCTCAGCCTGTAATCCTAGCACTCTGGGAGGCTGAGGCGGGCGGATCGCTCAAGGTCAGGAGTTCAACACCAGCCTGAGCAAGAGCGAGACCCTGTCTCTACTATAAAAATAGAAAGCAATTAATTGGCCAACTAAAAATATATAGAAAAAATTAGTCAGGCATAGTGGTGCATACCTGTAGTCCCAGCTACTCGGGAGGCTAAGGCAGAAGGATTGCTTGAGCCCAGGAGTTTGAGGTTGCTGTAAGCTAGGCTGACGCCACAGCACTTTACCCCGGGAAACAGAGTGAGACTCTGTCTCAAAAAAAAAAAAAAAAAAAAAAAAATTCCAATTTGTTTTCTCTGGGCCATGAGTTTATCAGCCCGCTTTGCAATTGCTTCAAGGCAAATGTTACTTTGACTGCTTTCTGTTGATTTGATAGCTTGTATGCTTGGGCCACCTGTTTGTAATTTTCTTTTACTTACTATACTTTCCTGCTTCTGAATACTAGGTGGTGATCTTACTGAGTTGATGACCTAGAGTGTTAGTGAGATTCCTCTATTGTACATGGTTACAATTTGAGATAAGAATGTATAAATGGCATTTTTAGTCTGGAAATTGGGCAAATTTCTGGGTTAAAGCAGGCATTCTCCACCACTGACTGATAGTGAGTGTATAAATGGTCTGTTTCCCCACTAGATAGCCAGCTGTCTCTGTTAATTACTGGACTGAATGCATTTCTGGTGAAGAGACTTTTATTTTTGTGTCAGGCTTGTTCTCATTCCTAAGACTAAAGTGGCTATCTCTCTCAATGCTTGACACTTAGCCAGGAACCAAACATATCCTTCACTCAATTAAGAACACATGTATTAAAAAGTCAGCACAGATGGAGAGGCATCCTGCTCTTTGGCTGAGACCCAATACCTTCCTGATTTATTTGGAATTAATTATAAATATAAAGCAAAAGGTAGGCTATTGATAATCTAAACAAAATAATGTGTTAATAAATCTGAGCTCAGACCTATTCACTCACTTGCTGCCCAGAGTGATTCTTCAACTCTGTATGATTATGTGCATAAAAATCTGTTGAGAGCTCTGTTGCCTCACAGGGCAGATGATTCAGTGTAATGGGTATTTCTACTGCCTGAGACTACGCATAAGCTGAAGCACTGGCTGGAGAAGCAATGTCTTTATAAGGCATCTTTCTTTGGAGGCATGCGGGTGAAGAGAGCTCAGGGGGTAGTGAGTTGGCTTAGAGAAGTGCAGGGCAGTTTTTATGAGAGTGTGTTCTTGATTCAGTTCTGAGTTCAGGTATAAATCTTCATAGCTCTTAGTTAAAGTCTATCTCCATGAATCTACTATCCACAAGAAGAATGTTAACACTGTCTCTGCCACAAGTAAAATACAAAATACTAAGATCCACCTTGCGTATAGCCAAACTAGATCAGTAACCTACCCAAAGCTGTGTACTGGCCAGCTAAGGCCAAAACTAGTGCTTAGGCCAGATACAGTACTCTGAGCAGGGCGTATAAGTTTTGTCATTAAAAATAAAGTTTTGCATTTCCTTTTTCCATCATTATATATGTGCATGTTGCTCTTAGGTTACTTGATTCTAGTCACTATTTTATCCCCAAGGAGAAGAAGAGCGCTCTTAGCTAAGAATCTAGTCTTAAAATATAAGTTGTCGTCTGTTATCTTTCTTATTAATGTTACATAGTTGTTAATGAAACTTTGTATTTGTTTAGAAGAGATTAGTATCTGAGAAAGGTGGTATTTTCCTTAAGTTCTCCATCTTTAACCTATTGTGGCTTTGAACATATATATGTAGGGTCCCAAAGCCTTATGACTAAATAAACTATCTTACTGAATTTTTGACACTCAACAAAGAATGAAGTTTCAACTGTCTTCAAGCCCAACTCTCCAAATAGAGCAATAGTTTTTGGTTTTGTTTAAGCTTAAAGACTGACTTGCAGTATCAAAGGTCAGCAGTGCAGCATTATTGTTAAAAGGGCCCTGTGGGTCTTTTTGTAAACCTAGTGTTGGATCTTCTTTATTTAATCAATATGTTGCAGAACAATAATTTCTTACCTTTAATGTGATGTCTTTTACTTTTTAAAATATCTCATATCTATTATCTTACTGGGTTTACACAGCAACTCAGATTGAAAAGGATTTTTTTTTTTTTTTTTTTTTTGAGACAGAGTCTCACTCTGTTACCCGGGCTAGAGTGCCGTGGCATCAGCCTAGCTCACAGCAACCTCAAACTCCTGGGCTCAAGCGATCCTTCTGCCTCAGCCTCCCGAGCAGCTGGGACTACAGGCATGCGCCACCATGCCCGGCTAATTTTTTTCTATATATTTTTAGTTGGCCAATTAATTTGTTTCTATTTTTAGTAGAGATGGGATCTCCCTCTTGCTCAGGCTGGTCTCAAACTCCTGACCTTGAGCGATCCTCCCACCTCGGCCTCCTAGAGTGCTAGGATTACAGGTGTAAGCCACCACGCCTGGCCTGAAAAAGTTTTTTTATTCCTTCTCTGCATATAACTCCTGCAAATTTTTTTCAGCTTAAAGAAACTAAATTTTAGCCAGATGCAGTGGCTCAGACCTGTGATTCTAGCACTTTGAGAGGCTGAGGCAGGAAGATGGCTTGAGGCCAGGGGTTGGAGACCAGCCTGAGCAATAGTGAGACCCTGTCTCTAAAAAACTGTAAAAATTAGCTGGGCATAGTGGTACACTCCTGTAGTCTCAGCTACTTGGGAGGTTGAGGAAGGAGGATTGCTTAAGCCCAGGTGTTTGAGGTTGCAGTGAGCTATGATGATGTCACTTCACTCTAGCCCAGGAAACAGATTAAGACCTGTCTCAAAAAAACAAACAAAAAACCTAAATTTCATTTTTCTAGATTCTTAGAGACTAGATAACTGCTACTTGTGCAGTTCACCATTGTAGCAGATGGGTAGGTCTAAATTCAATTTGGTTGTAATACAATGGGTTGGGGTTTTTTTGGTTGGTTTTTTTGTTGTTGTTGTTTTGGTAACAGCTTTTTCAAGTTATTGACAGACAATGAACTGTACATATTTAAGTGTAGGATTGATGAGTTTTGACATGTATACACCAAGAAACCACCACTGTAGTCAAGATAACAAACACCATTATCCATCACTCCCCAAAATTTCCTCATGTCCCTTCTCACCCTCCCCAAATCTGTCTCTGTAGGCAACCACTGATCTACTTTCTGTAATTCTAGATTAGTTTGCATTTTCTAGTATTTTACATAAATGGAGGATGAACAATACCTGTAACTCCTGGTATATTTCTCAGATGACTGAAAAAACCCAAAGTGTGACCTTTCAAAGTGATGATATTCTGTTGCTTGAATCCAAATGTCCTTAATATGGGACACTTTGGTATCTTTCTAATCTTTCTGAATGTTTAATAAAAATAGCAATAACTGACATTTCCAGCCAACTATGTGCCAGGCATTGTTCTAAGAACAGGTTTATTTTCTCATTTAAACCTCAGAACAATCCTATGAGGCAGGTACCATTATTATCTCCATTTTACAGATAAGGAGACTGAAGCACAATTAAGTTACTTGTCCAAGGCTACACAGCTAGAAAATGGTAGAGTTCAAACACAGGCTTTAGAGCCACCACTGCCTCCCAGATATAACTAAGAAATTCAAACCTTGTAGTAGTCTTAACACCAATAATAATGAATCATTAAATACTGAGTTATAATAGTACCGAAGCCAGAGTTCCATATTGAATGGCAAATATTTACGCCGAACTTGGACCTGATTCTAAGGGCTGATTACTGGAGCTTTAGCCCAAAACTAAGTGTCTTCATACTGCTTCAATTTTACCTGTGTAATCAATAATTACTTCTTTGGTACAGCTTTTTTCTGGGCAAAAAAAAAAAAAAAAAAAAAAAGAATTATTTCTTCATTGCTTGGTTTATTTTTATTGGGAATTGATTCCCCACCCCACACATTTTCCTGCTTTCTGAAAGCCTTTTAAGATTTGACCTACATTTTTGTTTTCTAGATGACCCTGACCCTGTTGATGAATTCAACTATCAACAGGTGATGGTTAGAGACAAGCGGAGGTTTCAAATGGCAAATAAGGATGGAGACCTCATTGCCACAAAGGAGGAGTTCACAGCTTTCCTACACCCCGAGGAGTATGACTACATGAAAGATGTAATAGTGCAGGTGGGTGGGATCCAGGATTCTAACAGGAACACAGTTTCTCTTTTTGTGGCTTATGCCATCTTTGCTCTGTAGCCATTCCTGTATATTTTGGAAGATGGCTTGATATACAAGTACTGGTCAGATTCATAGTCCAAGTCTGTCACCATTTTTCTGTGACCTTGATCAGGTCATTTTTCTTAGGCGCCTTAGGCTTTCTTTTTAGCACAATAATACTTTCCATCAGGTAATGTATTTTGCCATTTCATTAGTGGCTTCATATTATTAGAGAAGGGGGAAATCTTATTTTTTTTAAATATCCCAATGACCAGTGGTCAGACACTGAGTAGTAATAACGGTGAGACTGAAGAATTCCACAGAAGGCAGTTATTGATAACATAGACCAGGGGTCCTCAAACTTTTTAAACAGGGGGCCAGTTCACTGGCCTTCAGACCGTCGGAGGGCTGGATTATAGTTTAAAAAAAACTATGAACAAATTCCTATGCACACTGCACATATCTTATTTTGAAGTAAAAAAACAAACGGGCAAAAACACCCACATGTGGCCTGCGGGCTGTAGTTTGAGGACGCCTGACATAGACCATCTATAGCTATAGACATAATCACTGGTTGTATCTCCTATCTGTATGACTTCAGCATGACTAAAGCCTCCAGGTAGTTCAACGTTAAGCAATGTTAGTGTTAATCCTCATAGTTATTTTAGGTTGAAGCATAAGAAATTGCTAATGTTTTACCATTTTTCCAAGCTAGAAAAACATCAATTTCCTATGGTTTTCACCATCTAGACATATACATATGTGTGTATGTACTTTTTTAAATGAATGATAAATGTTTGCCTAAACCAGATACCATACACTCTTCTGGCAAATTCACTCAGAGACTAATAGTCTCTTCTTATTCTTTGCTGTTTAGGAAACAATGGAGGATATAGATAAGAATTCTGATGGTTTCATCGATCTAGAAGAGTATATTGGTAAGTCTCTGTTTCTGTGTTTTTCTTAAAAGGAGCTGAGAAGCTTTGGAAGATGTATTTACCATAGAAACAATTTTCCCCATGGTCAACTTTCACCAGATCATTAAGCCAGACCAGTGTGATGAATAGTGGGTCTTGATAAAGTATCTGTAGTAGCACTGTCCAGTCAAAATATAAATGTAGGCTGGGCATGGCGTCTCAAGCCTGTAATCCTAGCAGTCTGGGAGGCTGAGGCAGGAGGATTGCTTGAGCTCAAGAGTTCGAGACCAGCCTGAGCAAGAGCGAGACCCCCGTCTCTACAAAAAATAAAAATAAATTAGGCAAAACAGCTACAAATAGAAAAAATTAGCCAGGCATGGTGGCATGTGCCTGTAGTTCCAGCTACCCAGGAGGCTGAGGCAGGAGGATTGCTTAAGCCCAGGAGTTCCAGGTTGCTGTGAGCTAGGCAGACGCCACAGCACTCTAGCCTAGGCAAGAGAGTGAGACTGTGTCTCATAAATAAATAAATAAATAAACGTTAAAAAATATATATATATATATATGTGAGCCATATATATAATTTTAATTCTAATAGCCACATTAAGTAAAAAGAAACTAATTAATTTCAATAATATAAGTTACTTAGCCTAATATTGTAAAATACTGTACTTTCCACTTACCAATATAAACTGTTGAGTTTTTAAAATACTTATACCACATCCCAGTTGAGTGCACCACATTTCAAGTGCTCAGTAAATAGTTTCAGAAAGCCAATTTGTTTTTAGACCTGATAGTTACCTGAAGTATTTATTTAAAGCCTGAATGAGAGAGTTAAGCCCTACCTCTATCACTGGTCATTAAACTGCATCGAACAAGTCACTCCTTGATGTAGTTTAATCAGACTTGTTATTTATATTCTAGAGTTATTCCAATTGAATTACTCTTGAATATTTACCACTCTTCTAAGGCTCAATGATATACTTGAGCTTTTTAGAGAAGGAAGAGCAATGGAAGATAGGATTTTTTTTTTTTTTTTTTTTTTTTAGTGGAGTTCGTCAGGACAATTAATAAATGCCTGGGTGCATTTACTGAGCCCAGGTTGCCATTAATGGAATTTTCTACTTTTAAATATTCGATCTTTTCATTCTTGGCTTTTGCCATTTTATCACCATTTCTGAAGCCAGAGAATTCATTTGAACCTCCTGAGAAGAAGAATTAAGTTTTATAACTGTTAAGTACTGCCACTTATTAAGCATTGAGGCCAGATAAGGAGATATTTCTGTCTCTCTCCACATCATGTAGATTCAAGGGCAGAAGAATTATGTTTTGCAACCAAAACTATGGGAGTAGGGTGTGAGGAGAGAGAGAGAGAGAGGTACTTTCTTTTGCAAGTCAGTGACTAAAGCACACACTTTTACAGCTGGGGTACTGGGCTTTGGAAACCTAAAATTCTCCCTAACAGTACTTTCTAGTTTCTAGGGATGTGCCAGTTTCTACCCTGTTGAAAGAGATCATAAAGAAACAAAAGATCTTTGCTTTTAAATGCAGCATTAGTAAGAAGCACCCAGAGTTATGCTGTTTAATTCTTTTTATTTTTAAAATTTATTAGAGGGCATTGTAAACCCACACATAATGAATTTCCACATACTTGTGCCCAGCCTCACTTAACCATCAGCCCACAGTCAGTCCTTTCTCAGCCACATGTCCTTGTCTCCTTTCTTACTTTGAAGTAAATCTCAATCATCATCTCATTTCATCTGTAAACATTTTGTTATATATCTCTAGGATACATACGTATTTCTAAAAAAATAATTTTAACCAAAAAAATTAATAATTCCTTAATATCATCAAATAGACTGAATCTTTTTTAAATGGAAATTTACATAATATTGCTTTTTTTAATCTTTACTCATCTATCTTTAAAGTACATTATAGTGTATGGTCTAGCTTCTTTAAAAACTATGTCTTTTAAGAATACATCAATTTCCTTTCTAATATAGAACTTTCCAGTCTGTGTGCTGTGAACAGGTCTCCTTGACACTCAGGACAGTGAGGACAGAGCCCTAGCCCAGTGGACCATACAAATACTACATTTTCTGGAAGTGCTGTATATAGCATGGGGAAAAAATTGGCAAATCCTACGCTGAGGAACATTCTCTGCCTTGAGTTTAAGACAGAGGGAGTACTTCTATCCTTAACCCTCAAGTTCAGGAAAATGACAGTACCAACTAAATAACTACCTTGGCTTAGAACTGCTAGGAAGTATTTAGACTTCTGTTGGGTGTGTTCCTACACCTTCCATGCAATGCAGGTACACTTATACGTATTATAATTCAGGAGTCTCCAGACTTGTTCATTCACAGAACTCCTAAAAACATTTTGACAGTATTCCTTTACATGTTTTAAAGTTGGCATCTAAAATATTTTATTAGAAGTTTTAAAAAATGTAAAGAATAATTTGTTGGTTGTAATATTGACATTTTAAAGTACCTCAGTCCTGAACTAAATCTATAAAATTTAAACACCATAGCAACTTCTTATCTACTGTTTTCATATGAATAATATGAACAAACCAACTTTAAAAAGATAGTAAGGAAATTCAAATTTGGACTGGCTATTAGATAATACTAAGAAATTGATTTTGTAAAATATGATAATGGCATTATGGCTGTATAAGAAAATGCCCATAATTTTTAGAGATACATTCTAAAACATATAAGGGTGAAGTGATGTCTGAGATTTGTCTTAAATCATTCAGCGAAAATAAAAAGGAAATAAAATGGAAATCTAAAGCATGTATGACAAAAGCTTGATATTGTTTGGGTTTTGTGATAGATAAATAAGAGTTGTTTGGACTCTTTCTACTTTGGTTTATGTTTGAAAGTTTTCATAATAAAAAAATGATAATATAAGTAGAATGTTTATCATTATGCCTAGAATATAGCAAGCACTTAATAAATGTTAGCAATTATTTTTCTATTTCATAATAATTTAAAAGGAAGTGGTTCTTCAGTACTATATTTTAATATAGCATAGTGTTTGGTTTGCAACAATGTGGCCATTGCTTAATTGCATTTGTTTTTTGTTTAATTTCATAGGTATTTGGGAATATTTACTACTTATCAGTCACAAGATGGACAATAAGTAGTATTTTATCTTGAAAGCTTTAAATCACCTTAGCATACTTATTTGCAAGAACATTGTGTATGTAAATTGAAATATGAGAGTAATTGTTTTCTGTGATAAAGCTCTTAAGTGTTTTTAAAGAGTCTTCTGGGTTAAGTTACAATTATTAATACACAGTTGAACAAAACATTGCAAACATTTTGTTTATATTATTAAACAGAAATGTATCTCTCTGATAACTTTTTTTCTAAGTAGTTTTTTATCCATGGATGACAATTACTTATCACTAGAGTGAAACAGGGTTCACCAATTCCTAGTTTTCATATTTTTAAAGGAAGTGCTTAAGAGACCTTGTTTACATAAATTTATAAATAAGTTGATAATAATGAAAGATTTGTTATAACCACACTTAGTTCTTTGAACTTCTTTTGAGTTATATGCCAAAAGTCATGTGATCTATCATCAATTATTTTTAATCTCTTAGCTAAAATTCAATTAGGCCCTCTTTCAGTTTTTCAAAAAGCAAAGAATTGGAAACCTCTTGACATCCAAAAGAATTTTTTACTCATTTTTTTCAGACATCTATTCCTTGAAACCAACACTAAAATTTCTAATTGTCTCTTTTTTGTCATCTTGAGGCTTTTTACACTCTAGTAAGTTTGAAGATGGGTGAGAATATGCCTTTCTCTTATAAAGTGGGAAAGGGCAATTGTGAAAGGGGAGACGGGAAAGAAGGCTTGATGGCCAGGGATACGTTCTTAAACTGATAAATTTTTAGGAAAAACTGTGGAATTGAGGATCTGGAATTTGATTCTCTTGTGACCAGCCTTTCCCAGTGTACTCCTTGACAATGTTCTTGTTTCCCCGGGGGTATAGTTACCCCAGTGAAGGCCACTGGTATAACGTACTTTATGCAGTAATTGGTTGGTGGACAGCTTTGCCTTATAGCACATACTTTTCAAGCTTCCTTGAGAATTTAAAATGGTACCTTTCTGAAAACCAGTGGTCCAGTTTAATTAGCTACCTTGGGGTGAAATAAAATGTAGGGAACAACTAATCTTTTTCTTGATGCTAGTCTTTTCTTATTCCAGTGGAGTAAAAAAACCCATTAGTAGTATTTTTGTTTTGTTTTGGTTTTGGTTTTGGTTTTTTTGAGCCAGTGTTTTGCTGAGTTACCCAGGCTTGAGTGCAGTGATATGATCATAGCTCTCTGCAGCTTGAGCTCCTGGGCTCAAATGATCCTCCTGTCTCACCCTCCCAAACAACTGGGACTATAGGCACATGCCACTACACCTGGCTAATTAAATTTTTTTATTTTTAGAGACAAGGTCTTGCTATGTTGCACAGGCTGGTCTTGAACTCCTGGCCTCAAGCAATCCTACTACCTCGGCCTCCCACAGTGCTGGGATTACATGTGTGAGCTGCTTCACCTAGCCTATTTCTGCATTTTTTTTTTAAGGTGTAAGGACTCTCTTTGTTCTCGTGTCACTCAAAGTCAACATCTGGAAATATTCTTGTTACAAGTTCAGAAATTAAGCCTTGGGAAAATACCTTGCTTTCTGAGATCTCTCTGGCCTAAAATACCCATTTAACTGATATTAGGTTCCAAACAGATGGATGAGGAAGAAGGGTTAGGTCAGATTAGCACAAGGCAATCTTTGGAAAAAGACAAACTCTTTTTTTGTGTGTATGTCTGTATACCCAGGTGACATGTACAGCCATAATGGAAAAGCTGATGAGCCAGAGTGGGTAAAGACAGAGCGAGAGCAGTTTGTTGAGTTTCGAGATAAGAACCATGATGGGAAGATGGACAAGGAAGAGACCAAAGACTGGATCCTCCCCTCAGACTATGATCATGCAGAGGCAGAAGCCAGGCACTTGGTCTATGAATCAGACCAAAACAAGGTAAGTCTGGCCATGCCTGAACAATCTAGCCTTGATAGAAGTCTGTTTCTAGAGGATTGTCTTTAAAATGTTAAAGTACTTAGAACATTTAAGGCCTTAATTAATCTAAATCAGTAAGGGTCGATATTTGGCAGTTGATTAGAGACAGGATCTCTCTCTCTGTCGCTTAGGCTGAGGTGCAGTGGTTTGATTATAGCTCACTGTAAGCTTGAACTCCTGGGCTCAAGTGATTCCCCCAAGTAGCTAGGAGTGCAGGCACATGCCACCATGCCTGGCCAATTTTTTTATTTTTTATAGAGATTGGGTCTAGATTTGTTGCCCAGGCTGGTCTCAAGTGATCCTCCTGTCTCTGCCTCTCAAAGTGCTAATATTGTCGCCGAGAGCCACTGTGCCTGGCCTTAATCTCATTTTAGAAATCCCTTTGCCTAGTGCTCATAGCATGGGAGGAACTTGGGCTTCAGAAAAGAGTGTCTTTATGTAGCCTGTGCCCAGCATGCATACTCTGTTATCTTTGGAAATAGGAAATTTTGCTATTTTTTTTTATTTGTTATTTCTTTTGTTCTTTTACCTATTACAGGCTCATTCTGCCTACTCAAAGCTGGTTATTTTCTTCTGAAATCAAATATATATTTTTAAATTAGATTTGCAGTAGGTTGTAAATCAGCTTTTCTCTGGAGTCTGTTAAAATTGTCCTTGATCAATTATCTGAGACAATTTGTTCATTAAGAGTGGTATTATCAGCCAGGCATGGTGTCTCATGCCTGTAATCCTAGCACTTTGGGAGTTCAAGGTGGAAGGATTCCTTGGTCCTAAGAGTTTTGAGGTTGCAGTGAGCTATGATGATGCCACTGTACTCTAGCCCTAGCAACAGCGGTGAGACCCTGTCTCAAAAAGAAAAGAGAAAGTAATATTATCACTAAGCCCTGTCACCTTTTGTAGAGATTTGAATGTTGTGCTTATAGTAAGCTGAGAATCAATCTGAAGGTAGGGATTTTTAGTATTCTGAACATTCTTCTATCTAGGCCAATCTTAATTTCACATACAGTTTCTTTTCTTAGAGCCTTTTTAGCATTGATCTGTTTTCTGTTCTTGCTTGGAGTCACTTCAATAGCCAGGTACTGTGTCCTGAAATATGTGAGAAAAGGAAACTTACATAGTCATCCCTTAGGGAGTCAAGATAGTCTTTGAGATGAATGTCTGAGCCTTCATTTGGGGTTGTGTCTGTAACCTCACTGGTGGATAGGGCAGAGTGGAGATGTGGACTAGGCTTGATATCGGCAGCATTTGCTGTTCCTGTTAGAGGATGACTTGATCCATTTGGAAATATTTGTCCAGCTATTATTGACCATCTCTCACCCATGGGTAAGAGATGTCCCATATTTTGATATAAAGGGAGAGTTTTCTCCTCAGGACACAAACCTGTATTTCTAGTATTGAGTTGTTGAGTTGCATTATTTCCATCCTTCCACTTTTAACTTTCTTGATAAAAGAAGTGTATTAATTGCTATTTTCCTCCCTTTTTATAAATTAGGGAGGGGGAGGATAAGGATTGAGTTTACATTTAAATTTAGTAGGAACTAGAATCTTAAATCTTGATTAACCCCTTATTTTTCTTTAGCAGTGTTTCTAATTTTGTGATAAGAAATATATTCTGCTTCAATTCATTGATCTCTCTGATTTCAGGATGGCAAGCTTACCAAGGAGGAGATTGTTGACAAGTATGATTTATTTGTTGGCAGCCAGGCGACAGATTTCGGGGAGGCCCTAGTACGACATGATGAGTTCTGAGCTACAGACAGAGGAACTCACATTTCCTCAAAAGTAATTTATTTTTACAGCTTCTGGTTTCACATGAAATTGTTTGCGCTACTGAGACTGTTATTACAAACTTTTTAAAACGTGAAAAGGCGTAATGAAAACCATCCCGTCCCCATTCCTCCTCCTCTCCGAGGGACTGGAGGAAATCCGTGCTTCTGAGGAACAATTCTAATTAGTACACTTGTGTTTATAGATTTACACTTTGTATTATGTATAACATGGTGTGTTTATTTTTGTATTTGTTCTCTGGTTGGGAGTATAATATGAAGGATCAAGATCCTCAACTCACACTTGTAGGCAAACATTAGCCTTTTACTCTTTCTCAACCCTTATCATACAATTTTTATAATTCTTACTTAACTAATTTTTTAAGCCTGAGATCAATAACAATTGTTCAGGAGAGAGAAAAGGAAAAAAATATATACTCCACAATTTATATTTAGAAAGATAACACTTAATCTTATCTATCAAAAAGTCTGATATTTCACAAGTAGGAGGGGCCACATATTATATTCAGTTGATCATGGGTCCAGCAAACTGATCCTACTGTTATCTGGGTAACTGATCCCTATGATGTAAGAAAGCTTGGCCCAAATTGATTTCATTCCCTGCCCCCCCCCCACCCCAAACACTAGCTGTTTGCTAATTTTATCAAGCACAGCTGCAGTGGGAAGAGTTAGGGCCAGTGTTTTGAAAATCAATCAAGTAGTGAATGTGATCTCTTTACAGAAAGAACTATAGATAGAAACAGCTGGAAAACTAAAGGAAAAATACAAGTGTTTTCTGGGCATATATTTTTTCTGGGTGTGCATCTGTTGAAATGCTCACAAGGTAATTATTTGCCTGTTGAAATCACTGTAAGTGCCCCATCCGGCTCTTCTTCCCCAGGTGTGCCAAGGACTCAATCTTGGTTTCACTATAATTAAAATTCACTCCTTTCCCATCACATCATTGAAAGTGCCTTTAATAAGAGAAATGGTCATTGAATGGGAATTCTCTTAAGAAGCCCTAAGATAAAATAGAAGATTATTTGGACACCTTTTATTAAAGCTTAGAACTTCCCAATATAGTGGAGATTTTTTTTTCTTCCCTTTCTCTTTTGGACAGTAGTTAAATAGCAGTGTTAGTTACAATCTTGGTTGCAGTATTCTTATCTTGTGGGCTGGTTTCCAAAAACCACATGCTGCTGAATTTACCAGGGATCCTCATACCTCAGAATGCAAACCACTTACTACCAGGCCTCTTTTTGTGTCCGCTGGAGAGCTTGAGCTCACACTCAGAGATGAGAGGACCTGCAGAGGGGCTCTTTGGTTTGAGGACCATTGTTCTCCCTTCCTGCCTTTGACCCCATCCCCTCAAGCCCCATATACCTGTTGCCCCTCCCCCCCCCAAAAAAGGTGGTTTATCATGGATCTATAGGTTGCCAAGTCCTTATCAAAGAGAGGGATATAGGGCCAGGCGCGGTGGCTCACGCCTGTAATCCTAGCACTCTGGGAGGCCAAGGTGGGTGGATCACTCAAGGTCAGGAGTTCGAAACCAGCCTGAACCAAGAGCGAGACCCCTGTCTCTACTAAAAAAAAAAAAAGAAATTTATTGGCCAACTAAAAAATATATAGAAAAAATTAGTCGTGCATGTTGGCGCATGCCTGTAGTCCCAGCTACTCGGAAGCCTGAGGCAAAAGGATTGCTTGAGCCCAGGAGTTGGAGATTGCTGTGAGCTAGGCTGATGCCACGGCACTCACTCTAGCCCGGCAACAGTGAGACTCTGTCTCAAAAAACCAAAGAGAGGGATGTTATAGAAAGAGCTGAAGAAACCACCTTCTGTTCCCACCTCCACTTTACCCATGTTTTATGCAACGCAAACACTGTTCTTTTTGGTTCCTTTCTTACAGATGGATCTCTCTTGAGAGGAATTATGGTATTCCATTTTATAGCCCTCAGGTTACCAAGATAAACTTACGTATATATAACCTTTATTATTTCCTGTATCTTTTTGGGGTAATACATTCAGGTGGCACTGGGTGATTATTATAATCTGAATTTAGGTATATCCTTTGGTCTTCCACAATCATGTTGAGGTTGGCTCCTTGGTATAGTAAAAAGCCAGGTTTCATGTAACTTCTCCTCAGCCTTTGTATTGAGCTCTTGATAGTAGATATACTCTTTTGAAGTTTAACTCCAATATAAAGTGATGGAAATTCTTTGCCTTCCGGATTCCCCATTTTTATTGTTAAGAAAACCAGAGATAATTAATAACGCTATCAGCGCTGGCTTAGTTAGGGTGCATCATGAACTGTGTGGTGAGAGAGCTTCCAAGCTCACTCAGTGCAGAGAGCTCAGGCTTTGTATTAAAATCACTCACTTAGCAAAACTTAATCTGCCAAGATGGCAACTTCAGAATGCTGGGGACTCGGCAGCAAGCATTGTAATTTAATCTCTAGTGATCCCCTTCGGTTATTTTTTTTATTTGTTTAAATCAAGCCTGAGGCTGGTGAACAGTAGCTACACACCCATATTGTGTGTTCTGTGAATGCTAGCTCTCTTGAATTTGGATATTGGTTATTTTTTATAGAGTGTAAACCAAGTTTTATATCCTGCAATGCAAACAGGTACCTATCTGTTTCTAAATAAAACTGTTTACATTCGTTATGGGGGTATGTGTGACCTTCATTCTCTAAAAAATGGAACTCTATCTTAGAATCGTGGGTGCTATAAAATGACACAGAAAAGGAACTCTCCTAGAAGTTCTCTCTCCCAACCCCAGAGAAAAATACTGCCTTCTCCCAAATGGTTACTCTTTCCTCCTGTTTTCTAATATCTTCTAGCATCCTTCTCACTACAGCTCTAACCCTTGTCTATTTCCCTTAGGCTGTATAACTGGAAAGGACCCCAGCTGCTCATTACATAATTATCTCATACCAGACACAAGCCATTCCTGAATGTACACACATTTATCTTGATTTTTATTTCAAAAAGTCTCTTTTGAGGAGTGGAGGAAGAGTATAGAGTATAAGAACAATTTTTTTTGAACATTTTGGTATAGTTTATAAATGGCATTAAGATATACAAATGCATTTTGAGAACATCAAGGGAATTAAACTATTAACTTCAGTAAATACACAGCTTGAGAAATACAGGTTTAGCCAAGTAGGAGGAGGGGGAAAAGGAAGCACCTGGAATAATTTATGCTGGCCCAGGGGCTTGTGGACATGGCTGTTCCTGCCAAAGCTATAGCAATTATTGGCAGAGATAGCATAAAGTTCTCTCAAACTCATATTTGGGGCCTATTAAAGGTTTTTTGTTTCTTTTTTCTTTATATCTCTCCTACTTCTGAGGGTTTTCTTAAGTTCTAATTCAGAGTACATCATCTCAGAATAAAAAAGATGTTACTAAAAAGGAAAGTAATTGTTATCTATACACTGAAAAATCAGCCATACTCCTTTATAGTTGCCTTGTATGTAGAAATTGGTTCTCCAAGTGCTGTGAGTGGTTCCTCTTAGGGGTAGGAACTGAGGATTATTGAAATGATCTTTGGGTGGTCTGAAATAGACCCAGCTGGGAACAGTAGCTTCTAGGCAGAATGGGAATAGTAGTAAAATGAAAAATTGACTACAAATTGCTATCACTTCCTTCCTGTCTTTTTTCTGTGTTATTAGTAGTTTGGTTTCTGACAAAAAGACAGTGAAAACTTGCTTAAATGTAAAATTCTAGTTGTTGTTAACAGGTCAATATGGGCTCCTCATTTGGGGCCAACTTGGCTAGAAGAGAAAGTAGAAATTTCCGTCTTCTGGGAGCTGGATGTGTCAGATTCATCTGTCATGGCCTTCCCACATACCATCTCCATGATGCAAGCTTGGAACTGGAGGGAAAGGCAGAATTGGAGATAACCTTGGCAGGGGAGAAATACGAGGGAAAAGATCTCATTCTTTGTATCCCCAAAGCTCACACATACCCAGGATAGTCCCAGGTGGTTTTGAATGTATCTTTCCCATCCCAAAAACTAGGTAGACTAGTGAGTCTAGAACTACTCACTACTCCTGGGTCTGCAATGATAATCCCCAAACATTCTGGCTGAGTGAGGCCTCACTGTTGGGAAACTTCAAAAACCAGCAGTGCCCCCCACACTGCACCATTACTAGAAGGTGCTCCCAGCTGGGAAGGACTGCTGATTCTTTTTCATCCAGTAGATCTCAAATTACTTCTGAATCTGTCTCTTTGATTGAGGAAACAAAATAACAATTCTGAAAGTAGGGTTTTTTGCCTTAAAAGACTGAGAGATTTATGCATGTGTTGTGGTATCTGTGATTCACACATGCACTTGCAAGCTAGAAGTTGGAAGGGAAAGAATTAAGACTTCGTGAAATGCAGGGACTAGAAATGTACAAGAATTATTGATCTATAAGTTTTTCAATAAAATGAAACCTTTTCTCATCCTGCTTTTTGGAGCAGCTCCATTTTTCTGGCTCTAGTTCTATCCTCCCTGGATTCCATTATCTTGATCACATCTTCCTCCTGTGCTTACCCAGGGCTTCCCTTGTCCCACCCCTAGAAACCCTCTGAGTAGAGTCCAGAGTATTCCAAGTTAAAAGTCATTGGCGAGAAAAGAAACAGGGTCTCGTAGGAATATGAGTAGAGAGCTTTACCTGCTTATTCATAAAGCAGTAGATGATAGGATTGTAGACACAAGCACTCTTGGAGAAGAAGGCAGGAATGGTGACAAGCCGTAAATCCAGCCCATGGTTACGGTTGTTGACGATGTACATGGCCAGGGCAGCATAGGGCACATAGCAGAGACAGAAGGATCCCACCATCACCACCACCATGCGGCTCACCTCGCGCTCGGCCTTCTGGGTCGTAGCTGACTCCTGCTGCTGAGCTGCAACCTGGGGCAGAGCGCAGAGAGCACCATGTTCCTCTTCCTGGCCCTTAGCTCCCAGGTGTCCTGATGCTTGTCTGTTGGCGGTAGGGGATCCACTCTAATGCCCCTCTTCCGTCCCAGTTCTGGTCTAATTCCTCTGGCCTTCCTTAATCATTCTCCCTCCTCCCCCTTTCCCTCACTCTTTTAGATGCCCAGATGTCTTATGTTCTAGAGTAGTCTCCCACTCTTCCCTCACCTGCAGCCCCCTGACCCACTTCTCCCTGACTCTCTCAAAAGCCACTCACAGCTCTCAGGGCCTGCAGCAGCTGAGAGTAGGAGAAGCAGATGAGGGAGAGAGGCACGATGAAGCAGAAGAGGAAGAGGAACCAGGTATAGTACTCGCTGCGGTATTTGGTGTCCACGGTGTACCAGTCGGGGCCACAAGAACACTGTAGGCCCTCAGGGATGAACCTGCAAAGGACCAAGGCACTCAGCCATGGGACAAGGACTTGCTTGCTGTGGGCTCTCCACAAGCATTAGTGGAGTGGGAGCTGAGATTCCTGGATCATGTTCTCCACTTAAAACCCAGAGAATGCCAACAGGCTTCGGGCTAGGGAATTTTGTCCTGACCAGCAGAGGCTACAGCAATTCCAACTGCATAGCAAACATGAGCACTCATCTCCCACAGCCCTTTCACCTCACCTATAACTCTCAACTTTTTTAAAAATAGAGATCAAACACTGACATGCCCGAGCTCTCTTTCCACCCACGCCAGCATGAGCTTCTTGCTAAGTCAGCACCACTGCCCTATACTCACCGGCTCCAGCCAAAGAATGGTGGAATGGAGACGCCAATACCGATGGCCCAGGTAGCCAGGACCACCATCAGCGCGTGCCTGGAGCTGAATCGGAAGTTGCCGAAGGGCTTACAGATGACAACATAGCGCTCAAAGGCCAGGAAGGCCAGTGACCAGCCTATCACCAGACCTGTGGCAAAACATGAGGAGAATGGGGTAGACAGAGCCTGGCCAGCCTGGCTGGCAGAGTGCGATTCAGATGGGGTGGAGCAGGCACAAAGACAGGGAGGGTTGCACTGATGTCTGGAGTGTAGTGAAGACTCAAACATCCCACTTTGGTCCAACTTTTAGTTTGGGCTGCTTTGTACCCCAGTATTCAAAAGAGCACCAAACTCCTGTCCCCCAGACTCCTTTGGGGACCCCCTCCAACCCAAAACCCTGCCCCTTTGGAGTAGTGTCCTTTGCCTCCCCCAGCCCCTTCCCCTGCAGTACCTGCTGCACAGCCCAGGAACCCCTCCAGAGCACAAACATGGCGGCCAAAGAGGAAGTATCCTCGACAGCTGGCAATGAAGACGGGGAGGACAGAGAAGATGCAGGAGAGAAAGCCTCCAAAAGACAGATTGACCAGAATGTAGTTGAGTGGCTGCCGCAACTTCTTGTAGCGCAGTGTGGCCACCAGCACCATGACATTGAGTGGTGTCCCTGCAAAGAAGACAAAGCCCATGAAAACTGCCTGGAGATAGAAGGTCCAGACAGGGGCAATGTGGTACTGAGGCCCATCCCACGGCCCCACCGAGGAGAGGTTCTTGAATAGATAAAACTCCTCTTCCCCTGACATCTTACTCATGGGATGCCCCACACCGCCTTGGATTCCTCTTATAGATTTATCCTTCCATCTCCACCCCCCTCCTCTAAAGACACTTGAGCTCTGTGAATGATGGTACTTATCCTAAGTCTCTCAAGGACAAAGAAGTTTGGGATTAGGGATCCCTAATCCCCTACCTAAACCTCCTTTTGTGGTCCCAAAGCCGATTGTGTTCTTCAGAGGATAAAAAAATCAGGATATGCCCGATTTATTACCTTATGGGTAATAAGTTATAAACTCTGCACAAAATATTTTTAAAAAACTATTTTAATGCACCTAAGTATCCAAAAGAAGGCAGAAACTGAAAAGGACTCAACTCTTGAATGAAAGGAACCTCTATACCTAAATGGATTTTTTCCTGAGAGCACTCCCCAGTATAAGTGGCATGGCACAGCTAGAGCTCAAGCAGAAAGCCTCAGTCTTTCTTGGCTTTAAGAGTCAGAGGACAGAGTTTGAGACTTCAGAACACCCGAAAACTAGGTGGAATAAAAGAAGCCACAGACGGGGGGAAGCCTTTAAATATACACATAACCCCCCCTCAAGTTGTAGGCTGACTGCTGACCTATGGATGGAGGAATCTCCAAGAAGCCCAGCAAAAGGCAACAAGTGGAGGTCTGAAAGAGCTTAACAGAGATTTCAATTGTTACCCACTGCAACAGAGAAAGAGTTTGAGTTTGAAAGCCACCACATTAGAAAGGCTGGATAAACACTTAAGGCTTTCCATTTAAAACTCCCAAAGGCCACATGGTATAGCTAAAATCTATAACCCAGGACTAACACTTTTTTCTGAGACTAAGGTCAAAATCAAAGCTGACTCATACTAGCAAAGGATAAAACCAAGCTTCAACAAGTCCAAGGTAATCAACTAGTAATTTAACTTCCTGTTACAATGAAAATCAACTCCTCAGTGGAAGATAACAGAATCCAGTCTTTAAAGTATACTATCTACAATGTCTAATATATAATGAAAAATTAAAAGGCATGTGAAAGAAAGAAAAAACCCATAGGGAAATGTGACCCATAGCCAAAGAAAAAGCAGTCAATAGAAACGGAATCTGAGATGACCAGAAGTTGGATCTGCAGAAAGCACTTTAAATAGCTATTATAAATATGTTCAACAACTGAAAGGAAAAAATGGTCGTTATGAGTTAACAGATCTCAACAGAGGAATGGGAAGAATAAAAAAGAACCAAATGGAAATTCCAGAACTGAAAAGTACAGTATGTACAATGAAAAATTCGCTGGATGCCTTAACAGCAGACTGAACAGCAGAAGAAGGATCAGTGAACTTGAACTTGTTATTGATCCATTAATAGATCAATAACAAAAAGATATTTGAAAAATGCCCAACTGCTTAGAAATAAGCAATATAATCTATTAATAAATACCCATTGGTCAAAAGAGAGATAAGAGAAATTTGAAAGAATTTGAGCTGAGTAACAATAAAAACAGTGTATCAGAAATTGAGGGATGCAACTAAAGCAATACTTAGAAATTTATAGCTTTACATATTTATATTAGTAAAGAAGTGGCTTCCAGAACTCAGGGAAACACATTTACCAGTTTATTATAGAAGATATTACAAAGGACACAGATGAAAAAATGCTTAAGATAAGCCATGTGGGAAGGGGCACACCACCTTCCAAGAACTTCCATGTGTCCAGCCATCTGGAAGTTCTGCAAACGCTGTCGTTTTGGGTTTTTATGGAGGCTTCATTACATAGGCATGATTGATTAAACCATTGGTCATTCATGATCAACTTAAACTTCATCCCCTCTCCTCTCTCCGGAGGTTGGGGACTGGAGCTGAAAGTCCTAACCCTGTAGTCATACCTTGGTCTTCCAGGTGACCAGGACCCATCCTGAAGATACCCTACTAGGGGCTGCCAGCCACCAGTCTACTCGTTCACATTAGAAAGACATCACTTTGGAGAATCTAAGGATTTAAGAGTTGTGTGTCAGGAATAGAGGTAAATGACCAAATATATATTTTACAATATCACACAAGCCCATTCCAAAATTAAACCAAATTTTGGACTTTGAAAGGAACCTCAGAAATTTGCCAACAAGGAAACTGAGGTCCATAGAGGTGCTTATTGTTGCCTGACAAATTTATATGGAGCACAGGTCTCCTGATTCCCAACCCACCACCCTCAAAAGGTCAAGGTTGTGCCAAGTTTCTGTCACATTGACTGGTATGCACCCTAAGTCTTCCAATCCTCCCTCAAGCTTCCAAAAGACCAAGATGGTTTAAAATGGCAATGTTTCTCAGTGTTTGGGGTCTGGGACAGGCCCAAAGGAGACCCAGCTGCAGAAAGAGAAGCTGGACACAGAGTTCTGTGAGCACAACACTGTGCTGGGCTATAATCTCCTTGAGACCAGGATCTGTGCTGTATTCATTCTATCCAAGCTCTGGGCATGGCGCCTGCAGCGTATTGCCGGTCCTTGATGTTTTTGTTGCTTGAATATATGAACGAGTCTCTGACAATCATTCTCCAGCCCAGGCTCTAGTTTTTCAGGACCAAGGAGGCAGAATATCATGGTGAGTAATAACGGGGGCTCCAAAGTCAGACTGCCCAGGTTGGAAGCTGCGCTCCATCACTTCCTGGCCATGTGGCCTTGGCACCTGGTCTCCCTAGGCCTATTCCCTCATCTGCAAAATGGGGCTGACAATAGCCTTACATCACAAGTTTGTTGGAAGGATTAGATAAGAAATCCCTCATGAAGCTGTCAGCCCAAGGCCTAGCACACAGGACATGTGAAACGTACACTTGCTGTTATAATCAGGGCTCTCACTCCCCTCTGAGGCTACCTGATCCATCTCTGGACAGCTCCAACAGACAGAAAATTCTCCTTTGTAGTGAGACTGTTACAGAACTGAACTGGGGTCTGCTCACCTGTTGAAGCAAAGCCAGACACTGAAGCCAAGAGTTGCAGGGGGAGAAAGGCATTTTAATTGCATGGCACCACGCAAGAACAGGCAGCTAATACTTAAAACCCAAACTCCCTGATGGTTTACAATCCAGAGTTTTTAAAGGCAGGGGTACATTTCAGGCAGGCAAAATTACAAATCAATGCATGAAGGTTATACATTGGCCTGACCCAGAAAGAAAGTGGGGGGAGGGGGGGTTATGGAATAATAGATGGTTTCTAAGAGTCTTGGATTAGCAGAAGGGAATGTTAAAAGGGTGTGACATGCCCTGGGTTGGGGGGTGGAAATTTAGAACAAAGAATGAAGTCACAGACCAGTTCCTTAGTTCCCCCTTATCTCCATTTTCCATCTGTGGGGGCTTCTGGAAAACAACTTAAGAACATATGTTAAGATTCTGGCTGGGCACAGGTGACTCACACCTGTAATCCTAGCACTTTGCAAAGCCAAAGCAGGAAGATTAGGCTGGAGGATTGCTTGAGGCTAGGAGTTCAAGATAAGCCTGGGCAATGTAGCAAGACCCCTGTGTCTACAAAAATTTTCAACATTACCCAGGCATGGTAGCACACACCTGTAGTCCCAGCTCCTTGGGAAGCTGAGGTGGGAGGATCACTTGAGCCCAGGAGGTTGAGGTTACAGTAAGCTATGATCGTGCCACTGCACTCCAGCCTGGGAGAAAGAGTGAGACCCCATCTGAAAAACAAACAAACAAAAATCCACCATATGTTAAGATGTCATTTTTTATATCTTTTAGCTTCCATAAGGAGCCAAAATATTCCTGACTCTGGCTCCATCAGAGGGCCATTGTTCTCATCAAGTTGCCCAGTCATTTTTCAAGGCGAGCCTGGTGCCCAAAACTTCCCCAGAAGGACTCAAGATTTTTCTTTATTCCCATGCTTTGGGGGACCAGCAGCCCTCCGAGGGGTCTTTGCTCCATCTCAAGACCAGACCTCTCTTGCTAGCACTTTCCCCTGCTGACTCTCGTTCTCCCTTGGAGCCTCCCTCGTTGACCTCGTCCCCCTCCTCATCACAGCCACTCTCCAGAGACTCCCCAGTCCCCAGGGACTTCCTTGTCTTCAGCCTAAGCACAAGCCAGGCCTGGAGGCCCTTTGCTGCCTGACACTGCAGGGCCTAGAGAAGGAGCTCTCCTGCAGAGGGGCTGGGCAGAGCAAGGGGTGAGCATGCCTTCCCCTGTGTTGTGGCCACTGTCATCAGCTCTGAGCCTGCACTGGACTTTTTGGCAGCCATGTACATTGTGGACTGACTCCCAGTGAACTTGCAGCCAATAAAAAGAAATCCTTATCACACATGGGGCCACATAAGTGCTCCTGTGGATTGGGGCCAAGTGCAGGCCTTGTGTTCACTCTGAGTTTCATCTGGTTGGATGTGTCCTGTCATTCCAGCATAGCCAGACCCTTGCAGAGTCTCACCAGTGTGTTGGCTTTGCTCCCAACTCTGGCCACCTACATCCCAGGACACCAGTCCTCCAAGGCAGGAGGGAAGCGCCTGCTGGAAGGAAAGCCCTGCGTGTGTGCTTAGGGGTGGGGTGTGGTGCTGGGCCTCCGCCTCCCTGTGGTCCTGCATGTCCCCAGGCATGTCCAGCCTACCTGCTGCCTCTGCCTGGCTGTCCTCCTACCCTGGTGTCTCCCGTGCTCCCGCAGCAAACAGAGGAATGGCTCTGCTGCTCCCTTTTCTCCTCAGTCCAAGCAGAGACAAGATTGAAACCCCTCCCGGCCTTGCTCACCCTCAGCGCAAGCATTCATCAAGAGGTGCTTTGCTAGAAATCGAGGGAAACTGGGCCACCGATTTATACCTTCCACGCACCCCTTTCCCACCCTTGTGGCCGCACTCCCCTCCAGGCAAGGGCGCAGGTAAAGCTCCAGCCTGGCTGACTCGCAGGGTTATCCACCCAACCCAAGCTGAATGACAGAAGTGGCCTTACTCCTCTAAGAACATATTAGTACAGAAGAAAGCCATCTGCACAGGGAGACGCCTCTTCCTCCCCGTGCCAACCTTCTTTGCTAGGGCGAGAGCGTCCGATGAAGCCAGAGACAGAGCCTGTGGTGCTCCACGGGAGACCTCAACCCTGGTTCACAGCCCTGGGCACCGTTCTTCAGCCACTCCATCTCCCTACTATTATCCCGCTGATATTTATTTGTCTTTTGTTCAACAAACATGTCAGATGCCTCCCCGAAAAGCAGATACTCTCGGTCTTAGGGTGCTGCTTTGATAAGCCATCTTATTGGCCCTATCAAAAAATTTTTAAAGGAAATGAGTGGAGTTTAGTGTGACTTTTTCTTAGTGATCTCATGATGGCTCCTTCCCTTTCTCCCCTTTTCCTTTTTGTACACTCACAGCAGTGTGAGCATAGAAGCCAATCCAGTAGGCCAGCCAGTCCCCTGTTATGAGCTGGCGCTCTCAGGGCCTTGGCTACACTTGTCACAGAGCCCCTGGCCTTTCTCCAGGCCTCATAGTCTCTTCATACTTATTTGGGTTCATAAAAGCAAAGCCAGGCTCACACCTGTAATCCTAGCACTCTTGGGGGCCGAGGCGGACAGATTGCTCAAGGTCAGGAGTTCCAAACCAGCCTGAGCAAGAGCGAGACCCCGTCTCTACTATAAATAGAAAGAAATTAATTGGCCAACTAATATATATAGAAAAAATTAGCGGGGCATGGTGGTGCATGCCTGTAGTCCTAGCTATCTGGGAGGTTGAGGCAGAAGGATCACTCGAGCCCAGGAGTTTGAGGTTGCTGTGAGCTAGGCTGACACCGTGGCACTCTAGCCTGGGCAACAAAGTGAGACTCTGTCTCAAAAAAGAAAGAAAGCAAAGTCGTATCATGGCTGAGCTAGAAGGGCTGGGTGGAGACTTGGCAGCCATTTCTGAAAGCCTGATGTTCCACGTGCATGCCCTACACAGACGCTCACCCACAATAGCGCTTTGGTGGCAGTTACTGGAGAGATCCAGCTAAGGGTCCAGAAATTGCAAGGCCACTTGGTCTCCACCAGATTGACTGAGTCAGCTCCTCCTTTGCCCTGGGCAGGACCTCTGGACCAGGGCCAGAGGCCGCTGTAAGGTGCCTGTCCTGAGCAAGGCCCATAGTCTGAGTGGAACGAGTCAGTCTCAGCTATTTTCAGGACGCTGCTGTGCTGCCACCCCTGCGAGGGGTCCTGACGGAGTCTAACTGGTGTGGGTGCGAGGCACCCCAGGCCCTCTCACCCCCGGTGTGCAGGCCAGGTGGCCACGTCTTTGGCCTCACTTGGTCCTGTCCTGACACCTTCCCAGACAGCGCCCTCCTACCCCCTTCCACCCCACATCGGAGGGAGGGGCAGTGGGCCCAGGCCACACAGCCCCCCAGCTGAGCTAGAGCAGTTGCCCCCTGAGGGGCTCAGGCTAAAAGGGGTGTCACCCAGTCACCCAAGCATAGAGTCTTATGGCACCTAAGCCAGGGACAAGAAATTTCCAGAGTCATTGAAGCCATGGAGTAGGAGGAGGGAAGATTCTGAGGAGGTGGCATGAGGTGAAAGAAGAGGGTAACAACATAAAAACTGGAATCATTTTAAGTGCATTTAGTATACAGTGCTCTTTCCAGGTTTAAGGTCACTTTGCTAATTTATAACGTTATAACACAGTAAGGCTTTACAGAGACCACACGAGGTATATTTACACTAGGGTTTCTCAACCTCGGCACTACTGACATATTGCAGGGAATCCTGGTTGTGAGGGGTTGTCCTGTGCACTGTAGTGTGTTAAACATCATCCCTGGCAAAATCACTA